TTGACCCTGGTGTTTCAATGCTAGAGTGCCACTGCAGGTTTACCATTGCCAGGGGTTAACTCAACAGATTATACCCACTGTAGTTAAATATTTATAGTGACTAAAAACATTGTCTGTAACTCTGATTGTAAATGTGTAGTATTACTGATCATTTTCTGTAATTAATTTTACACTCATTACTTAGAAAAGTCCAGGACTGCATTCTCTATTCACTTCACCCCTGCTGAGTGGAATTGATGTCATTTGATTTCTCCAATCTTTCTATGGTTCGGTGTTTAAAATAATTGTTTTGTTTTTTCTTACTTTTACCTTTTGAATCTTAATACAATCTTTATGTTTAATATTTATGGCAAAAATATTTATTATACATTTACGCAACTTAGAAACAACTTTTGAATTATTGCTAGTTTAAGTATAACCTTGTTTATTTTGTGTTTTTTCAAGTAGATGATGTTCTTCCATGCTTGAATAATAATGTCTTCATTTATTTGGACCAAAAAAAACCACTAGTCTGTTACCAGTATACATGCCAGTGTAACAAATGTGATGTTGTTATTCATTAGAAAAATGTGTTTTTTGTTATTTTGCTCCCTTGAATGGTTTGCTTTCTGTCACAGCACACTTTGTTTACAGAATAGATTAGGCTGTATTGTCCTATCCAGCAAGCGTAATGGGACTGTTTCATCTTCAGCCATATGTAAATCCTGACTACAAATGCTTTGGGTGCATTTTCAGGTCTAATCCTCTTATGAATCAAATTTTGAACTTCTAAACCAAAGGCTCTGACTTGTTAAATTTAGTTGTTCCTCCCCAGGGAGTCCCGGTTAATTGATTAAAACTAGCACTTATGAAAAGCAGTGAAGACGCAGCAGGGCATCTGTCTTGGGGATTATGTTTCTGTAATAAAAACTGTTTGATATCTAAAGTGAATAGGGGCGTAATGGTGCACTAAATCCATAGTTTGCTATGCACACTAGTAATAGAGTCATACTTTGATATCATTTTCTGTACCGCAGAAAAAGCAAAGGAAATGTCTAAATTGGCATTTGGTGTTATGTTTTAAAAAAGGGGAACATTTAAAAAGCGTCTATCTTGTCATGATTATCTCTATAACGTTTGAGGTGCTTAAATGCTTTTAGTAAGCAAGACTGACATCTAAGTCAAGTGCAGTATATTCAGTATATTGCTGTATATGTGCTTCTTTCTGTGAAGAACGAGGACACCCATGTTATCTAAAGGAACTTCTTGGTATTGTTAGTGAACAAACTAACCAAATGCCTTGTGTTTACATGCATTGTTAACTCACTGAACATGGAGTCATGGTGATTAATCTGTAAAATGTGATTAATTAGATCTTGTAATGTGAGCTAACATATTGTATGCGTTTCGTGAATAACTCACACTGCAGAAAGCTAATAGACAACAGCTACTGCTCTATGAAAATGTAACTTCTGGGAGTGCAGGTACAGACATAAATAGACTTGTGACAATAGCTGTTTGTATCAGCTGGAACCAAACATCCTTGCATCATAAACCTAAGTGTTAGCAGTCTTTTTCAGCAATTTATAAATAAGTACACCTTCCACTCATTATGATGATGTGGATGCAAAATTGTTACATTAACGTGCAAAAAATAATAATAGATTAATAAACAATTCAGTGAAATAAATAAGTAAATAAATACATTTAGTTTTTCCATGCTTTTCTTCTTAATGTTTCAGTGTAACTCACTGCAACGACTCTACTATGAGTACATTTCAGCTAAAGTTGCAGATGATCTCAGCTATTGCTTCTGCCCTTGCTTATTCACGTTCCTCTTCTTTTGCGTTTTATTCATTCTCATTGGCTACAACTATCTCTTCTTTGTCGTCTCCGGTTGTTTAGCTGTGACTACAGCAATGCTGGAAGTCTACAAATTAATTGCACAGATGATGACAATGGTGGAGCGTTTCCCTGTGTGTTTTTGGAAGTTTAATTTGCTACTACCTGTCCAGATTTTAATCCCTAACCCAGCTTTTGCCTCCTCCTGAACAAAAATACTGACCAGCTATTTTTCAATATTCTTCTGGATTAAAGGAGTGCACATGAAGTGTCACATTTAAAGAATTTACATCATTATTTACACAACCTCAGCTATGCAGAGCCGCTGTGTCTACCCACATGTATTTTGTTATACATGTACAATGATTATAAAGGGCTTTTCTATTCTATTGTTCCATCTTAGCCATCTACCCAATCATTGCCTCTGATACTGGCAGCATTTCTTTGTAGTTAAAAAAAAAGTCCTTATAAGGCAGTGAGTGGTGTTATTTTAATAGCACTGATGTTTGGTGAACAGCTCCCTGGTTGCCAAATATACTCTATAATATACCTGGATAGCTTGGCAGGTAAAGTTTGTGCATGATATGTTAGCAATCCCTTCAGGGTTTTTCTTTAATTAAGCACAAACCTGCATTTGGACTCAGAGATAATTGGTGAGTAAAGGGCACCATAGCTTCACAAAACACATAGTTTGTGCTGGTGTATAAAGTATGGCAACAATTTTTTGTATAAATGTCCCAAAGTAGGAATTGATGCTACGATGGAACGTTATATCACGTTGGTCAGATGTTCTGATTTTCTGTGCCATGTTAATGTTCTGCAAAGTATATTTTTCTACTCAGTATTCAGCATCATGCCGGAGCAGAAGGTAGGAACTATAACATAAAATTAATTATTGAAATTATTTTAGTACTTGCCAAAACACAGTGGTGCCATAAACCTTACATTGGTGGATGGTGTAATAAATTATTTTTTCTTATTTTAAAGTACAAAAATGTCCTACGTTTATCCTGTTTGTTATCTCAATTACAAATCTCTAATATCTAGCATCTTTCTTTTTTATATGACTGCTTTAAGTTATGAAGTTCTCATTTGTTTCTTAGCTGAATACCATCTTGAATATCTAATAGTTCACAGCAACTGTTAGGTTTAGTTATGACGCTGCAGAGTCACAGAGTGGGCAACATCTTGTTAAAGCTCTTGAACTGGCTGTGATAATACAATAGAGAATTTGGATTTGTGCTAAATATGAGCAATATGCCATCATATTCCTGTAGACTGGAGTTCATCATTGGATGCAACACCTTAGAAATGCCTCAATCAAGCACTGCAGACTTTAGTACAAGCTGTGTTTAACCCCATGAAATTGCAATCTCTTTGTATTTGATATAAAGTAACCAACGGATTTTGGAACATCTTATCTGCATTTTTGATTTTAGCAGATAGGTACAATTTGCCCACATGTTATGCTGACCTTGAGGTCCACCTACTAGTCATGAATATTTATGGTTGCCAATATTTATGCAGTCACAAGAGACTTATTAGCATACTTGAGCTTCGCTTCCTACCTAATTTCAATGAGATGACAACCTGATGTCATAATCAGAGGTGGACAATGAAGCTAACTTCATCTATTCTCCATTAATGTTAGAGATATAGCCGTGATGGAAATGACCCTTTTGACATTTACAGCACTGCTTAAAGATGATGCAATAATTCACGTTTGGATCTGTTAGGTTAGAGTGGAAGAGTGCTGTGCTGATTGAGCAGTTGGGAGCAGTGTTGTTGAATGGACTTTGCATTTTTGACTGTTTCAGAATGAGGATTTAGGAATATGTGGTGTCACAATGTCCTCGCAACATCGCATGGTTTGATCTATTCCGAAATTAGGGATATTTCTGAATGTATCGCTATCCACTACTTACAACTTTACTCATTTTTAGCCACTTTTTGTGTGTGTGTGTGTGTGTGTGTGTGTGTGTGGGTGTGTGTGTGTGTGTGTGTGTGTGTGTGTGTGTGTGTGTGTGTGTGTGTGTGTGTGTGTGTGTGTGTGTGTGTGTGTGTGTGTGTGTGTGTGGCCTTTTTCAGCTTTATTTGATAGATACAGTAAAGAGAGGACAGGAAAGTAGGGGATTGTCTGTCCATTTTAACTAAAAACAAATAAACAATTAATAAGATGTTAAGTTTAGTTTTAGTTTGCTGTGACACACCTGGTAGTGAATCAAAGCCAAAGGTCAGATGTTGCACAGTAATAACTAATTTAAGAGTCAATAAATGACCTGAATGTTAAAGTCCAAGAGTGTTTTGACTAGAACATCAGTGTGGTAGTTGGTCCTGGGTAGGAGGAAGAGAGGGCTGTGAAGTCGACCAGAGTTTGATAGGTGGAAGGCATCATATATGAAAGTTGGCTTCCTCAGGTTTCCTGTCAACGTAGACACCTGCTGAAGGGCCTTCACTAGACGATTGTGTGTGAGACATTGGGCGTGCAAAATTCAGTGGGCCTTCTGAAATGTATGCTGATCGTGCAGAGAGGCCATGATTTTGAAGCAAGTACTCTGTGTTCCGGAGGCATTTTGGATCGAGAGAGAATTAAACCAGGAACTGAATGAGAATTTTCTTATTAGGGTTGTTGCAAACGGCAGATTTTTCTTCGATATTAATCAACTACCATTATTGGAAGCTTTGTCTAATTTTCTCCTCAGTTCATCTCCACCGACTCTGAAGAATATTTCCCATACTATTTGGCTTCAGTATGTTTATTTGAATAGAGAAAATAAACAGCAGTGTTTTATTTTTATTTCGTTTATTTATTTATTTTTGCTATGTGTTGAAAGTGAACCAAAAGAGTTGAGCTGTATGCTGTTAAGAGCAAAACAGCGAACTGAAAAATGCAAAGTTTCACAGGGCTGAAGGGAACTGGCGAGTTGGGTGTTAGTTCTCTGCACGTCTGATGCTACAGACATTCTTTTTAATGTCACATGTCTTCATGAGGTTGATGATTATTTTTACATACTCAACACTCTGCTGTTTTGGAGGACTTTTGCTTTGAAACGTCTGCTCAGGAGGTATTCATGAGAAGAATTTAAACCAAGCAGTAAAGTAGAGATGAGTAGAATTTATTAGTTAATAAGGAACAGTATAATGATCAACTGTATTTATGACACACTCTTCTTTTTCAGATGTTCACTGGCCTCTTGAAGCACACACCACCTCAGGCCTCCGCTGCAGCAGCCTCTTCCTCGGACCAAAACAGCAACGCACAAACTACAGCTCCCACAATCCCACGGGGACACCTGGTTGTGGGCACCAAGGACCAGCTCCGCCTCCTCACCCCTGTGGGCAGCACGGTGACATCCAATCACTGCACCACATCCGGGGTCCACGCTGCTAAGCACTCCGGAGGAGCGCCACGGCCTCCCTCCTCTATGAGCGAGGAGGATGATGGAGGTGGCGGAGGCAGGGTGAAGAAGAAACGAAAGAAAAAGGACAAGAGGGAATGGGAGAAAGCAGGAGTGGAGTGTGAGGAAAAGGAGAGCAGCAAACCAAAGAAACGAAGGGAGGAGAGGGAGCCAATAGTGGTCTCCCTGAGAAAGAGCAAGGAACCCAAGGAGGGAAAGGAGAGAAAGGAGCGTAAGGAGCGCAGGACCAAGGGAAAGGAGGGCAGGACAGAGAGTGAGACGGTGCTGAAAAATGTGTCGGGAGTTAAAACGTCAGGTGCCGCCGTTTCCCCGGGATCGGCTCAGATGCCTGTCAAGGTTCCTGGCAAAAGAGGAAGAAAACCTAAGGTCAAAGTCCTACCTCCTGTACCCTCGAATCAAGGTTTGAAGAGTGTCAAGTGTTTTTGTTTGTGTGGTAGTGACAGCAAGAAGTTTTGGATTGTGTTTTTAATAGTGTAGTTTGCTTTACCTACAGTAGGGATGTGCATGATTAGTTTACTAGGCAATTAAATATTACTGCCCTTGTTAATTGGTACCAGAAATACTTTTAGGTTAAGCTACCTCTTCATAGCTTATTAATTTATCCCATCTGCAAAAAGTGTTTATTCTGATGTGCCACATGCCGTTTTTCAAGGCTGTGTCCGCTGACAGCTTCTTAATGTCTAATGATGGTACCAGTAGTAACTTTAATTAAAAAAAAATACACCCAGGCTGCTTTACTTATGTGATGGTGGCAGTGTTTGCTGTCTGCTAACCTCTGCTGCTTTGAAGTCTGTGTGAATGAGTGTCTCGTTCTGTGTTTTGTCAACAACCAAAGAACAAAACCTTAAAAATGTGATGACAACAGGCGTTTGAGCTCGAACAGTTCAGGACTAATTGGCAGGCGAGGATGATGCCTGTCCTGTTTGTAAATGTCCTTAAATCATGATCAGACATGTCAGCATAAATATAGGTTATTATAATGCGATTGTTGGATTTAATTAAGACCGAGTACGCATGGTTATGTGTTTGCACGTGTGTGGGTGGGTGTATTAGCATTCTTTCAATAGCTGAAGAACAGAAAAAGATTTTCTGCAAGAATTATATCAGTGCATGTTTGATGATGCCAAACCCAGCAATAGACTTAGATGACACTGAAAGTAGGATAATAGAATTTATATGTATTATTGAAACAACTACAAGCTGCATTTTGGATTCTTTGTCAGTGCTGCTGACAGTCCACTGTTGGCTTGGGGACAGTGTATACTCTCAATGCTGTTTTTGCGACCAAACAACAACAAAACAAACAACACAAGAAAAAACCCCACATGTTCCCCCGTGGGTGAATATTCACGGTGATGTTGACATTCTTGGTTAATAAGAACATTGTGCCTACGTCAAGATTATTTTCATCAGCGTGCAGACTCTTCCTTTTGGATCATGTTTGTGGGGTCCTGAAAATTATTGAGTTTGTATAAAATTTAGCCAAGATATTAATATTTTCATGCTCTGCCTATGATGAATTAAAAGAACGTACTGACCCCTTAATCGCTTAGCTGGACCATCAGGTCAAAATGTCAATATTTCTGGTACCGTATTTCCCGGACTACAAAGCGCACCTGAATATTAGCCGCACAAGCTAAAATCAGGGGAAAATCCTGTTTTGTACATACATTAGCCGCACCTGACTAAAAGCCGCAGGTGTTTCAATGTTGACTTATCATATGTAAGAGAATATGCACAAAGGGAATTGTCAGGAAAGAGATGGCTGTTTGGAGACATCACTTTTATTAATATTTTGAAAAACAAGTTATGGGTACATATTTGCACATGTAGTACATAACAGTAGCCTACAGCACACCAGAAAAATAGATTCGGACTACCTTTTAGGCTCAGGTGCAGTGACACAGCTTTAACAAGAAGAAAAGTCAGTCATTCACCATCATCTTTCTCTTCTTCCTGCGCACTAAAACCACCAAAGTCCTCTCCTCCAGTGTCGGATACAAACAGGCTCAGGATGGCTTCGTTATCCACTCTCCGCTTCTCTCCTTCGTTGTCACTTTCAAAACCAAAGAAATCCTCGTTGTCAGTGTCAGAGTCAAACACCCTCTGAAGGGCCGTGGCGGTGTCCTCCTCTCCATCATGCAGCAGTCCAGCCCTTCAAAATCCGTTGGTGATCGTGGATGTTTTCGCACTTTTCCACGCTGTCAGATTCCACCGGTGGAGTTGGGCATAACTTGCTTTTCGCAAGTTTATCGCCGCTCATCATCCACGCCTCCCGCTGAACGCGTACCGCTACTTTGAAGTTTGTTTTTCGCGCTACTTCGTATGGCACTACGTTGCCTGGCGGACGGACATGTGACCAACATACCACTCTTGAACCCCGATCCTTCCGCCAGGCAACGTAGTGCCGTACAACAGCGGAACACACAAAACAAATCGTCTTACGATATCACAAAAATCATGGACAATCCATAGAAAAGCCGCACCTGACTAAAAGCCGCAGGGTTCAAAGCTTGTGCAAAAAGTAGCGGCTTATAGCCCGACAATTACGGTACTTTTGTTTAGTGGTATTTAGTAAATGTAAGCCTGCTTGCCAGCCAAGTACAGTGTTCAAGAATGCAGGGCGTTGCCATACAACGGCCCTAGCAAACTAATATTAATACATGTGCATCAAAAGAGCTGTGGGGAAAAAAGAAAAAGAAAAATCAGCTTCAGTTTAAGAATGACTAAAGTTATCATGGAAGTGTGACCACCGCCGCTTGTCCTGTACAAGAGCTTGCATTAACTCACAAATTTCCAAATCCTCTTCAGCTCGTCCTACCCAAGGAGTCCACACAAAAGTCCCAGGGGGGGCACACGGCACCCAGGCCGCCCACAGCCATGGTAAGAACCACGGTCAGGCAAACAGCAAGACGCCAGTCCCGTCAGCGCCAAAACAGAGGGGTCGAAAACCCAGGTAAGACTTTCGGACGGGCTAACAATTCATGGGTGGAGAGAAGAATTTACAAGGAGAATATTGCTATAGGGAAAATAGAGAAAAGAGGCCGCACTAGAAAACCCCTTGAAGTGCACAATAATGGGGTAAAGCGAGGAAGTCGGCAGTAAACCTGTCGTGTGCAACAAATAATGCAGTTCCTTGGTTACAAATATTTCACTTTGAAGCTACATTAAGGAGAAATACTAAAGAGAGACCCAGGACATCATGAATGCATAGTAAGGTTTTGACCTTTGCAAAATAAACCACTAAAGTCAAGCTGGTGATTTCTGGAATTTGTGAATTTTTGAAAGCTAATTAACTTTGGAAATGTGTTTGAATCTTAATTTTAATGTGAAGATAAACAAACACGTCCATGCAAGCTGATAAAACGTTTCTCTTTATCAGCCACGCCATCACTTCAGAGATGCTATTCACGTCTTATCTCACAAACCTCTTATAAGCACATGAGGATGTATAAATATGATACAGATGCATATACCTTAATAACAGACTGTTTAATTGCAGTTGACAACCTTAGCTGTTCTTCCTTTACTGTCATTGCTATTCCCCCTTCTATTAATCAGCTCACTTTTTAAAAGCTGAGCAATTGGAGGGTAGATGGAGGGAGCACTGACACATCTGCCACAAATGCTGCTACTGTCATATTTTATATCCTCAAATAGTAATCAGGCTTTTTTTTTTTTATTTAGCTCACCTGCAGAACACACCTGTATTAAAGTTTGATCAGCTTAATTTCTCATGTCTTAATACAGAAACTCATTTTGATGAGTAACTGAAGTGTGATCACAAGATGCACGCGTACATTTTAAATAACATTAATAACTGCACTCTGAACTTAACCAGACCTTCCTGTAACCCTTTCGTATATTAACAGCCTTACTGTTTAAGTGGATGGAACCATTTAATCTCTTAGTGGAACTTTTATTGTAAAGCATTAGCATGCGTACGATACCCAACAGCAGCTGTACCAGATTGTATTTCCTCAGCTTGTGTCTGCGGCCAGGCTTTTATTTGTTCTTGTCATCTATGCACTTTGCCATTTTCAGACCTAGCTTTCAGGTGGCTACTGTTGGTTATTTTAAGAAAGAATGGCAGACTTTAGACAGGATTTCTTTGTGAATTACATTTGTGCTAGGATGATCTTAGATGTGTCACAGCAGCATGCAGTAACTATTGGGTTGTGGATAAAGAGAAAGATTGGAGCTCAAGAGATTGGTGTAGACTGGAATGCATATTTGTGACAAGTTGAGTTAAGGTTATGATGCTGTAATGTGAATGAGAGAAAGGAGATGGTGTCAGAGAAAGAGCAGGTTTCTCAGACAAAAGCAGTACATGTGCAAGCAGAAATTTATGATGAAAATAGTTTGGAAGAAATGGATTGTGAATGAATGAGGGAGGACAGAAATGGCAACAGATGTGAAGTTAAGAAAGGAAGCAGCCGAGTTATGAAAGACAAAGAAGGGAAAAAAACACCAGTGAGTGTGAGAAGAGAAGAAGCTGCCAATGAAAGTTATGAAGAGAATGTAGGAAAGAGATGATGATCAGTGCCATGAAAGGGGCGGGGGTGGGGGAGTGGGGTAGTAAGGATGAGAAGCTACAGGGATAATGATGTAAAGGAAGAGTGGAGATAAGAGACAGTTTTTGTGCAAAAGAGAGAAAATGTCTTTAACCGGTGCAGGAGATGAATCTGTTTTGCGCCTTGGACTCTGCCTGCCAGTATTATCCTAAATCATTAGTCACCATAAGCAGTTCATGTGTCAGCTGCATTTTTGACTTAATAGCATTTAATTGTTATACTGTAAAGTCAGCGGCAGAAGAAAGTGTGGAATATTGAGTAATTTTTTCCAAAAGGTGACTTATACTGCATGTCAACATTTTGTTTAAAGTTTTATTTTGTATTTTTTTTTTTATTTGTGTCAACGATGCTTGATTGCTCATTCGACAGGCAATAAATATCTGCTCGAGAATGTCAAAATTTTTATGTTGCTTCCCTTCTTAGTTTAAAATGAATAGCTTTATGGCAGTATTCTATACATTAATAAAAGGAGTCAGAAAAAAATCAGGGTTCCCCAAAGGGAAATTGTTTTATTGCAGTTGTTGTGAAAAAATGTTGAGAAATCTACAGAAGTAGAAATGAGACAAAATGACATTTCTGATGGATAACATTTTTTAAAAAGGGGAACAACGGATTTCCATCATACCACAATTTGATTTGACAAAGTGAAAACAAAAAGAAATGATTTGTTCGTTGTAGTTTTAGTAAGTGCTTGAAGCTGGGGACCTATCATTTCAAGTAATTGAACATTACACTTTGCTCTTTTGCGTTAACTCCTTTATTAAAATGTTGCAAACAATGCATTTACTGTCATTTCTCAGGCTCTGATTTTGCTGTCAGGTAGCAGTTGGGCAGTCTCGTTGTAATCTGTGATCAATCAGTGGTTGTCTTTTGTGATTAGGAAATGACAGTACTTCTGCATATTAGCATAAAGAGTAAGAGCTGAAAGAACTTCCTCAACCAGTCTGCCACAAATCCTCAGGGAGCAGCAGAGTTTCCAGCCGCTGAGTGAGAAAATGCTGCTGCAGGCTACTAGAGTGGCGAATTACTCATCAGAATTCCTGCCCTCACAGAGATCCTGGCGCAGCGCCGGTGGAGAAGAAGAAGAAGGGGAAGAGGAGAAACCAGGAGCTGGCTGTCCAGGAGGGGGTGGAGAGTGATGACACTACCTCAATGTCAGCCATTAACATGGGTGGAGAGGACAGCCAAGACCCCCTGGATAATGCAGTGAGTGCACAGCAAAACTGGATAGAGGCTGAACACAAAAGGCTGTCATCACAGTATTTACAAAGAAAAACCTACACAAAGGATAAAGGGTCAATTTGATGATATTCTGAACATCAGTAGCATTCTTAATGGCAGGAATCTTAGCAGTTTTTTTCGTCTTTAGTTATATACCACTTTTAAAACAACCAGAGCTGAACAGAGTGCACATTAAAAAAACAGGGAATGTCAAAAATAGGTGCACAGACCACCAAAATGGAAAACAGGATTAAATGTCTAAGGCCATTAAATAAACAAGAGCCACCACAAGTTGAAAGAATGTGTTGAGATTTGCGTCATTAAGGTAGGAACATTTGACTGTGCGATGCAGTCCGCAATTAGAAGCAGTTCTTCTAGGATCTACAAGGCTTAGAGGTAGGGTGGAGGCAGATGAGCGCTTAAGTCAATTCAGTATTTGACAGGCATACAGAATATCAATGCTAGTGCTGCTGTAATGCTTCTCTATTTTGCTGGTGCTAATTTGGAGTCTTCCAGCAGCACTCTGTAGCAGCTGGAGAGAGTCTGAGCTAGCCAATACACCAGTGTGTTTCAAATATCCAGGAGAGCAATGTGTTGATAAAAGTCGTCATGTCACTGAGAAATCGGATGGGCTTCAGGAGGCAGGTGGAGTTTTACAGATTGCTTCTCTTTTTGACTGGAAAGACATTTTTGAAGGCACAAAATAAAATGGACAAGATTACCACATCGGAGTGTCAACCTGACTTAATTAGCTTAGCATTCTTTCTTACATTCACTGCAGTATCTGCATTGTGTAAGAGTAACACTGATACACAGTCGCTGAGCATAAACATTTAATCATTTCTCTTTTCTTTAGTTTACATGTAGATATACTTCCTCATGCCTTCTTTTTAATTCTTCTGTCCTTTTTTCTCCTCGTATTCTCTCTCTTTTTTTTTTTTTCCCCTCCTTCTGCAGAAGCGACGTTCGGGACGACAAGTCAAAAGGAGGAAGTACAACGAAGATTTGGACTTTAAGGTGGTAGATGATGACGGAGAGACCATTGCAGTTCTTGGAGCCGGTCGCATCGCGGCGCTCAATGCCACTGCTCTGGCATGGCAGGCTGAGGTAAGCACATAGATGGTCATCTGGTTCTTTCTTACTTTTTCCTCTCAGTTTTGTTATATCTATGTTATCATTAAGGTTTTATAATATTTAATATCTTAATAATTATAGCTTTTAAATACATTTTTGGTGTTTATCTGATTGCAAAGGTTTGTTGCTTTGGAGTCTTAGTGTTAGGCCTGTTTGAATAAAACCTTTGCATTGCATTGCAGCCTTAAGCTTCAGTAGTTAATCTTCTGATTCTGTCTCTCAGGAACCACCTGAGGATGAGGCCAACATCATTGAGAAAATTCTGGCTGTAAGAACAGTGAAGAAAGAGGTGAAGGACAGAGAATGAACACACACACTCGGCTTATATAGTTTTTTTTTTTTTTTTATCGCTGCTCGCTTATTTCTCGTTTATTAGTTTTGTCTCTTTCTGTATCTCCATAGACGTCATCATCAGAGGACCAAACGGAGGAGATTGAGGAATTTTATGTCAAATATAGAAATTTGTGAGTACCTCTTTGACATTGGTTATTCATGCAGTTACATATACTGGAAATTGATATTTTTAGCAGTCACGGATGAGGCCACTTTCACTGTTGTATGTTTTCCTGCACAACAGTGAAAACATTCCTTTGCCTCTTGTGTGATCATTGTTGGAGGAGGCACAGGTTAGAGATGTTGTGCTGCATTGCAGGTTTGATGTCAGGTTAGATCAACTGTTGGCAAAATCGTGTGTTATAGACTAGATTAGAGTAGCCCTTTATTGTACATGTACAACAAAATTGTGGCTGCTCTGCAACGACTGTGCGGATTTAAATAATAAACAGACAGGAATAAATAGCAAACAGGAGAAATATATACAATCAAGAGGGCTGTATACAAAAATAACAGAAAGACACACATTAGAGAACAAATAGTGGTATTCACAGTTAGAACCGCCACTCTGTCTAATACAGTCTAAAACTGCACTTCCAGTAGCACTCGCACCTGTGAGCCAGCCGGCAGATTATAATTGCTTATGTGGTCAAACATTCTTAGATCTGCACTGCTTTCATAATAAACCATCACTTAATTTTCTTCCATACTTCAGAGCATGAAAGTGTGTACATGACTGTGTAAACTGGGCATGGCTCTTGTACATTTAGGCAGTCGTCACCATCGTTGATAAAATGATAACTTTGACTGCACGACAGCTGCTAGCATTGACAAAAAGGTCAGCAATGCCAATAATTAGGTCTTTTGACAAGTTAATTACTGGTTGGAGGGATGTCAGTTACTCGTCATCTTTCGTCTTACAACCTCGCATTCATTACATGAAAGGAATGTCGTGCCTTTGTTGAAGTTGTTAATAGTTTTTATGACATTTATTTGAAGTAATTCGAAGTTTATACACATGTGGTTCTCTAACAGTTGCTTGTAGCTTTGCATCCGTAGTCTCACAAGCACTCAGTTAATTTTATCCCCGAGGCTCAGGTTCTCCAGCCAGTCTAGGGATCTCTTGAGACTTTTTTCTCTCTCTGGGACCTTTTATTATAAAGAAAAGACCTAGAGAAATATACATTAGTAATTAAGATTGTAATTTACTCTCTGAGGTGATGAATAAAACATGATCAGATCGCTTGAGCAGTAAAACTGAGTCAGTATGAATGTTACTCAGTAGAATAATGTATTCAGAAATTAGAAATATGTAGTAATAGTGTAATATTTGTAGTATTAAAAAAAATCACCATTATGCATAATGCAATTGCAAATATATAAGCATTTGCATAGTAACTACATGGTATCCCTTAAACACGTCAGATACATTTCTAGTATTTGTCCATTTATGGGTTGAGGTTTATAGATTAAATCACGTATGTTAAACTGCAGCCACAGGAGCAGTAGTAGAATTTGTTTTGCCGTCTTTCCTTTCCCTTTAATTAGGGAACACTTTCTCAGTATTGCTGATTAATTCCAATTAAGGTAACTACTTCTAGCTGAAAATGCATATTTTAATCACTTGCAGTGCAGCAAACACTGGTTATGTTGAGTGAGGTGAAGGCTGTTCTCTTTATGGATTGATTTTCAACTGTTCACACAGTTCAAACAGGCAAACGCCCGATTGTTTTGGGAATCCACCCATAAAAATAGAAAACTGTACGAGTATTTAAATCATCTTCTCATGTGCCTCTGAACCACTTTCAGTGTTCAGGTTTTAGATCATCCTTTTGACATCCTGTTCTGAGCTGTTCTCACACGAGCTGAAAGGCTAAGTAGCTGGCTATGTTTTTTGTCATGTCATTTCAGTTCCTACCTACACTGCAAATGGGCCACTCTGGAAGAACTAGAGAAAGATCCCAGAATCCACCAGAAAATCAAGCGCTTCAGGACCAAACAAGCCCAGATGAAACACCTGTTTGCCGAGGTAAGGTTAACCATCATACCCTCATATGCTGTTCAGGACTGGATAAAGGGTTAATATTCTCCTTTTAAATGACAAGACAAGTTCATGTGCTATTATCCAGCTAACCATTTCCAAAGCTGTGTTGCCCATAACAAAATAATTATGAACATATAAATATGATTAGTTTGTGTATGTAATGAATGGGCCACGCTGCCTGATAGTTCACAGCACATCCATCCTGTGTTACTGCAAAGTGTTCAGGGTGCTTCAGAGGTTAACAGGCTAACTCCATCAGGATGTGATGGGGTAACACCCTGACACAGAAGCATCATTTGTTCTTAAGTGCACAATTTCATCTTCATGGGAGTCGACCTTGTCACACTTCATGGGAGAGAAATCGTTGTTGTTGCAAAACTGTTAGTAGACTTGTTTGACAAATGGGTTCAAATACAGGGAGTGCAGAATTATTAGGCAAGTTGTATTTTTGAGGAATAATGTTATTATTGAACAACAACCATGTTCTCAATGAACCCAAAAAACTCATTAATATCAAAGCTGAATGTTTTTGGAAGTAGTTTTTAGTTTGTTTTTAGTTTTAGCTATTTTAGGGGGATATCTGTGTGTGCAGGTGACTATTACTGTGCATAATTATTAGGCAACTTAACAAAAAACAAATATATACCCATTTCAATTATTTATTTTTACCAGTGAAACCAATATAACATCTCCACATTCACAAATATACATTTCTGACATTCAAAAACAAAACAAAAACAAATCAGCGACCAATATAGCCACCTTTCTTTGCAAGGACACTCAAAAACCTGCCATCCATGGATTCTGTCAGTGTTTTGATCTGTTCACCATCAACATTGCGTGCAGCAGCAACCACAGCCTCCCAGACACTGTTCAGAGAGGTGTACTGTTTTCCCTCCTTGTAAATCTCACATTTGATGATGGACCACAGGTTCTCAATGGGGTTCAGATCAGGTGAACAAGGAGGCCATGTCATTAGTTTTTCTTCTTTTATACCCTTTCTTGCCAGCCACGCTGTGGAGTACTTGGTCGCGTGTGATGGAGCATTGGCCTGCATGAAAATCATGTTTTTCTTGAAGGATGCAGACTTCTTCCTGTACCACTGCTTGAAGAAGGTGTCTTCCAGAAACTGGCAGTAGGACTGGGAGTTGAGCTTGACTCCATCCTCAACCCGAAAAGGCCCCACAAGCTCATCTTTGATGATACCAGCCCAAACCAGTACTCCACCTCCACCTTGCTGGCGTCTGAGTCGGACTGGAGCTGTCTGCCCTTTACCAGTCCAGCCACGGGCCCATCCATCTGGCCCATCAAGACTCATTCTCATTTCATCAGTCCATAAAACCTTAGAAAAACCAGTCTTGAGATATTTCTTGGCCCAGTCTTGACGTTTCAGCTTGTGTGTCTTGTTCAGTGGTGGTCGTCTTTCAGCCTTTCTTACCTTGGCCATGTCTCTGAGTATTGCAAGATATCTCACTATTTTTGACTTTTCTGAGCCTGTCAAGTCCTTCTTTTGACCCATTTTGCCAAAGGAAAGGAAGTTGCCTAATAATTATGCACACCTGATATAGGGTGTTGATGTCATTAGACCACACCCCTTCTCATTACAGAGATGCACATCACCTAATATGCTTAATTGGTAGTAGGCTTTCGAGCCTATACAGCTTGGAGTAAGACAACATGCATGAAGAGGATGATGTGGACAAAATACTCATTTGCCTAATAATTCTGCACTCCCTGTATTGCAACGTGTCAAGGCAAGTCATTTTTGTGCATTTTTTTTAAGTCACTGTTGTTCCCTGGGAGCTTTTTAAGTACTGCAACAGAGGGTATCATGTTGTTATGGATGGGGAGAACTATGTATAGGCACCGTACAAGAAGAGAAGAAGAATTATCAGTGGACGAGTTACAAAAATGAGAAATGGCACTATGCACCTCTGGGTTTTTGTCATGGCCATGCGGCCCGGTTTGTGACACAATGCTAATGATTAAAGTCAAATTACATTTCAGGTGTTCTCATGTGAGACTATTTTTTAGAATCAAACTGGTTTTTTTTCTTGTTTGTTTTTTTCCCTTCATCCCTCTTTGTCTCTGTTTTTTTTTTTTTTTTTTTTTTTTTTGTAGCCCGATGAGGACCTATTTAACCCAGACTATGTAGAAGTGGACAGAGTGCTGGAGGTAGCTGTTACCACAGATACAGAGACCGGAGAGGTAGGTAACACATAAACACAGACACCCTCCCACAGAGGTGTTTTTCTGGTTTGAAAGTAGCTATTACCGAAGATCCTCAGTGTGATGGTGCTCTCAGAATCCTGTGGTACAAATACAACGTGTTTTTTTTTCTTTCTTGTATGTGGTTGTAGGAGGTGACCCATTACCTCGTTAAGTGGTGCAGTCTCTCATATGAGGAGGCAACGTGGGAGCTGCAAGAGGACTTGGACCCAGAGAAGATCAAAGAGTTTGAGGAGATCCAGAAACTGCCTGCAGACCTCAGACACATTGTGAGTAGACACGTAATCGAAGATGAGTACCATAAGAAAACTTGATGCAGCGCTTTAAAATTAAGGAGAAATTTTTTCCTCATTGTAACAAACCTCAGTTCAAGAACAGATGGGCAAGGTTGAGTTCAGTTGAGGAAAAAGCGCAACACACTGTTGCACTTCAGAACTGCTGTTTTTGAAAAAATGCTATATTATACCACTATGTAGCAGATGCTGCCTGATAATGGTCATGATTTACTATGTTGTTTTATACTGTCATGTTCTGGTCACTGTTCATTGGGAAGCAGTTTAATCCTTTTAATCCCTTTGCACTAAGATGATCATTAGTTCCTTTTCAGTCGCAACATAAGCTGTGGTAGTGTGCTTGGATTAGTTCAAGTAATAATATGTAGATTAAACAAATGTGCTCCATTTAGGACTCATTTCTGTGAATAATATTGAATTTGTGTAACTGTGTATTTGCTACAGTGGTTGCCATTTTTCAGACTATTTTTCCTGCTCTGGTACAGGAAGATAATGTCCCTTTTCTCTCAGTACAGTCCACAATGCTCCGATAGGCTTATTTATTTATTTATTATTTTCACAGCTGAGACTCATTTGAATTTCTGAATAGATATGGAGATGTGGGCGGCAATTCAGACGTTTTGAGCCATCTTAGATACATAGTGAGAGAAAACATTTACATTATAAAGTTAGGCTGGTGGGAGGATAATAGAAAAAGGGAAACTGCGCTAGTGTACACCATTATGACTTTATGTTTTATCTCTAGCCATTTCTGCGGAACAGACAACCTTGTCTGCCCACATCTCTACAACCACTGATCCTCAATTTTGCCTTTTTGGTGTTGCTTCTTTTTCCCCAATGCTAACGAGTGCAAACATGATCGGCTTTGTGTGATTTTTCTTTTTTCTTTAAATTCTTTTAATCCCTCACAGTCTGATTCGCCTCAGATATGTTCTGCTCTTTAACTATAGATCTGTTCTTAGCTGTTTAGTGTTAGTATAACTGCTTTGTAAGCAGAAGCAAGAGATGGCATCGGTGTGACATGATAGGTTGTCATTATCCCAACAGCATATTTACTTTCCAAGGTTGAATACATAATTGTTACTTCAATAGCAGCAATTTTTTTGAGGTTCTTTCAATTTTTGGACATTCGGGAGCAAAAACTGAGCAAGTTATTGTAGCTCCTTTGCTATTATTAATTTAAAATCTAGTATAATCACCTTATTTACCCATTCAACCTCTATAATAGCTTCATTTTACACTTATAAACTGGCACAACTCACTTATCTTATTTCTGACTGATGAGAGGAACCAAATAATTTCATCATCTGATTATATCCCAGTTTTCTTGGATAGAGTTTTGTAATGATTCCAATCAAAAAATACAGCACATAACATGTAATAACTGTATTTTTGTTGTTGCATTTTGTTTAGTAATTACTGAAAAGGTACTGAAAGGGCAATTTATATTTGTATGTGTGTTTGCATCAAAGGAGCGTCCTTCTCCAGAAAAGTGGCAGAAGCTGGAGCGCTCTAGAGATTACCGAAATGGAAACCAGCTCAGAGAATACCAGTTAGAGGGAATGAACTGGCTACTGTTCAACTGGTACAACAGGTGAATATACACACTGGAACCATTCTAGTCACATTCACTCACTGAGGTTCAAACAATCCAGGGTAAATTTAGGGCTAAATAAAAGAAATAAAGCAAACTCTCATGATCAGTTAGTTGATTAATTAAAATAAGTCATAAACAATGACAGTTTTACAGTCAGTTAAGCTCCAATTATGCACTGAGGACTACGACTCACCTGGATGGCTCCTATAGGTCATACATACATACATATATACACACTGGTTGTATACATTGTTACTTCTCTAGCAGGCGTGCTCTGTGTGTGGGTGTGTCCTGCCGCTCTCTCCCTGACTCAGGTGCCACCTCTTTCTCCTGTGGAGCCAGTGCGCAGCTGACTCCACTCAGCAATCAATCAACACTGCACTATAAAAGCTGCGGAGAAGCGCTGCCCAGCCTCTCAGTGGGCAAGCTCTGGCAGGGTTGGAAATGTGTCCTCGTGGTGGAGTGTGTCGCAGTGTGCCAGCTTCACTGGCATGTTGTACTTCAATTATGTGTTGAGCTACTAGTGAGTAGTTGTCACCTCCTGCTAGCAGAGAAGTGGGTTTCTTCCTTTGAATGATTCATTAATTTTTTCCCTTTATTTAAAGCAGCATTTATGGTCTGCTGATGTTTTGTTTGTTTGTTTTCTTCTTTTTCTTTGATAGACAACAAAAGAAAAACAGGCAATTTAATTATTATTTTTTTAAACCCAGTTATTTTATTATTAGTCTTAATCCCCTAGTCCTTTTTGGGGGACATTACCTGCATACATAAACTAAAACATCACGCAAACACACTAAAAATCATGGTGAGCACTTCCTGATTGCAAGAAGCAGAGGCCCAAAATAAAACATGAGTGCAACTCCTAACCTAAACGAGACAATAGATGTACTGTATCTAATCTTGTCATATTTTATGGCTTCATTCTAAATGCATTTCAAACTAAAGTCAGCCCCACTGCTGGCCTGAAACAAATTAGTTCCACGAAATGTGACCCGTGTACAAATGTGGTGCAGAAAACCAGTGAGACTTCCTTTCGCTTCAAAAACACAAAAGCACTTTCACATGAGAAACAGTCTTCCAATCTGTGTACCGTAAAAGTCAAAGAAAATTCCTGCAAATGCATGTTGGGATGTAAAACAAGTCTGGCTCTACTGTCATTACAGAAGCAAAATTTAACAAACCTTGCTTTAATTTTTAAAACCTCAAACTTTTTAAATTAGTTTTTAACTTATGAGATTAGAAGTCATCATTTAGATGAGGAGCATTTGTATGTTTGACTGATTCGTGTTACGAGATGCAGAGTTCACGTTATTATCACAAATGTGTTGAGACAATTATGTTTACACAAACTGTAATCTATTACATGAAGAAGTTATTGTATAATTTGCACAAATGGATGCCTCTGGTTTTCATCCTAGAAAAAACTGTATACTAGCAGATGAGATGGGTTTGGGAAAGACAATTCAGTCCATCACCTTTCTCTACGAGATCTTCAGCATGGGGATTCGCGGGCCCTTCCTCATCATCGCACCTCTGTCCACCATCACCAACTGGGAGAGGGAGTTTCGCACATGGACGCACATGAACGTTATTGTGTACCACGGCTCGCAGATCAGCCGGCAGATGATCCTGCAGTATGAGATGTTTCACAGAGACCCACAGGTAATGTTTGACTGCAGTCATCTCCTCTCATTGATCAGCCAGGAACTGAATCAGCTGTGTTATGTTTCTCTAGTAGCTTTGAAATGTAAGGTGTGTTCAAATATTTGGTGTTTGATTCCTGTTGAAATTCCAGAGAGGTTGGGGTTTTGGGGCCTTCTACAGTGATATAAAATGTCTTTATTTGCTCTGCAATCACTAAATTAATAGGAAAAATTGAAATGCTACAGGGTCCAGCTTCTCCTTTGGGAAAAAAAATGTAATCAGTTCAACTTTGTTCTGTACTTGCGCTTGAAGCTTAGTCTGTAAGAAACCGAGATTGTGTCATTTTTCAGTATTTTATTTGACAAAACACCTAAAGGCATAAACACCTACATAATAAATAGACCAACTGAAGTAAAAATACAGATGAAGCCAATGTTAAAGTTGGGAGACGGCGCAGAGTCTTTGGATTGATGATTTTTCGTGGTCGGTGAAATGAGTTATCGCAGTTGTAGAGTAAATTTTTATTGCTCATAAATAACTGCAATGTTGTTAAACATCTACCTCAGTATTTATTTATCTGACTCTGTTAAACAGCAGATGTTTTTGTTTATGATTTTCAGCTTGTGTTTAAATCAATAAAAATTGGAAAAATTATACCATTCAGTTGCTAAACACCCGTTCGCTTTCACTCGGCTTGTACACATAACAGTGTTGCATCAGGGTTCTTATTGCTTCTTATTTATGTATAACAGAGAATTATCATTACTATAGTGTATGCGTTTATTATGCAAGCTTTAATTTTTATCTCCGCAGATATCCGAGGGGCTTGAATACTAAGTTTAGTCATGTGAGCCTAATGCAGCTGTGTAGCAGTTTCTATTGTTTGAGGCATTCTTTATTCTATTTCTTAGTCAGCAAAAGTTCTATAATGTCCACCCCTGAAATACCAAATATGCGTTTTCCTTTTCTTTTTTTATAACAAGGGCAGAGAGACAAGTGTATCAGAGGCAGCAAAGAAAACTGGGATCAAAACTGAACCACAGATGTGATATTGACATGAACCTTTTGATTATCTTGACCCTGAAATATGAAGTTTATATTCTCACCCTTCCCTCTCTCACAGGGTAACACTATCCCAGGTGTGCTTAAGTTTCATGGGCTGATCACCACTTTCGAGATGATCATGGCTGATTGTCCAGAGCTGAGAAAGCTGCACTGGCGCTGTGTGGTGATCGATGAAGCCCACCGGCTAAAAAACAGGAACTGCAAACTGCTTGAGGGTCTCAAACTCATGAACCTGGTCAGTCTGTGTGTGCTATATAAAATAAAATAAAATAAAATAAAAAAGGCTGTTGTTTTAGTGCTGAAATGTCGTCTTATTTATCCCATTGGGTTTTTTTTTTAGATGAACTCAGCAGATTATGTGTGTATTTTGTTGTTGTTATTTTATTTCTTCAGTATATTGTACATATTCCAACAGGAACACAAGGTCCTGCTGACAGGAACCCCTCTGCAAAACTCAGTGGAGGAGTTGTTTAGTCTGCTGAACTTCCTGGAGCCACTACAGTTCCCTTCAGAAAGCACATTTCTCGAAGAGTTTGGAGACCTCAAGACTGACGAACAGGTATGCACAGTTTACAGTTTTCCTCCATTCTAGATTTTAACCAAGAAAAATGAAAATTTTGACGTCGTGTGCTAACATTGCTGTTCTCTCCGGCCCATCTTGCCTTTCGCTCTGTTTATTTTTTCCTCTTACTGAGCATCGCATTCACACTTTGTCTAATTTCTCCAAAAGGTGAAGAAGCTTCAGGCCATTCTGAAACCCATGATGCTAAGAAGACTGAAAGATGACGTGGAGAAAAATCTCGCACCTAAAGAAGAGACGATTATAGAGGTACAGCTGTGTTTTCGTGTGTGCTTGATATAGAAATGTAAGATGGGAGTAATGCTCCTATTTTTACAGTTCTCTGAGCTCTTTGCTGGGAAATATTTTTATCTTGCTGCATTCTGTTATGGCTGAATGATTCATCAAACATTACTGATGAAAGCTTCATTCACTTGGCAACAATACTGAATCCAGCAATTACACTTATTTTTATCAGTATTATTAGTCTTTATTAGTCTCTTAAAACACCACTAAATAAAAATGAAATTAAAATGAAGTTGTCAGTTAATTAAAATGAGTGTTCATCTGTGATGAGTGTCTGGTCTTGTTTCCTCTGGGTGCTCCAGTTTCCTTTCATATTCCAAACACATACAGATACAGCCACTTAAAATGGCCACCGCATCGCTGACAGGACCATGATGGATGTCTGTTGGAATTCTTGACCGATTGTCGACTGATAGATAACCGTAATGATATACCCTGCCTGTAACAGAATAGAATTCAACTTTATTGTCATTGCACATGCACAGGTACAGACGATGCAAACACGATTGTAACTCCCATAAGCAGTATTTAGGAAAACCAGTGGTAATTTCTTAAGTATCCACCAGGGGGAGCAGCGTGGAGGCGCATTCATTTACAGAGCCGCTACACACGTTTTCAAACATTTTGCGCTGTGAAAGAGAAAGTCCAACTTCAACAACAGGTATGAGTCCCGCAAAAAAGCGTTCAACCCGCAGTCTTTATTTAGTTATAAGTGCAAAAACTCTATGTGCTGATAGATAGGCGAGAATTTACAGTCATTAACGTTCAACCTGATGTGCGACTATACAAACGGCGCTCTCAGGCCCAACAGATTTTTATTTTTTTTTTTAAATATGCAATTTAGATTATTAGCAGCTGATGCACATTTTATATATTTTGTATAATTACAAATAATTTGTAATTTTATTTTATTTTTTTTCTGAACTTTATGACAAAGTTAAAATGAGGGATTTTTGCTCTCCTCATTTTAGTGCTTGTTGTTCAGCTGCTGAGATTCATTTGCATATTGCCACCTCTTAATGATGAGAAATAAGAGCCCCCCCACCCCCAGCTCTGCCTGTCTGTAAAACCTTCTTAGTGAATGCCATTGATGTGTTTTGTCCTTTTATAAAGTTAATCACAAAAGATTTGTCAAATTTTTTTAGATTACTGTTAAAATCTGTTTTCCACAGTAGCCATATTAAAACTGCTGTTGATACATCTGCAAACCTTGTGACATCATGTTAAATTATTAAGTGTAACTTAAAAATGTAAGTAATTTCTACTTTATAGGATGATCTGTCAAGTCAGAACATGCTTGTTTAAATTCGTTGAGGTCCGCACAGAGAAAACAGTTTTCAGTGCAAGTCCGCGTTTGTGAAAACAACGACATCAGAATTTTTTTTTATCTTGGGGTAACTGAGCGCATGTCTCTATTGTCTCTACTGTTACAACAGGATGTATGACAAAGAGGAAAATAAGAGAAAGCATCAATAGGTCCCCTTGAAGATTTCTTCTCCATAACACTGACACACAGCACGCTATATCGGCTTGTGTCATTACTTAACAGCTGCTTAAAAAAAAGAAACACAATTTTAAATGGATACTTTTTTTCTTTCCCGTCTTCTTTTCAGGTTGAGCTGACCAACATTCAAAAGAAATACTACCGAGCCATCTTGGAGAAGAACTTCTCTTTCCTGTCCAAAGGAGCAAACCAGCACAACATGCCCAACCTCATTAACACCATGATGGAGCTTCGCAAGTGCTGCAACCACCCTTACCTTATCACAGGTGAGAGCAAACATGCAAGCACTCACAGATTGTTATTCATTATTCATAGTCAAGCAGTTGTTCACCCACTCCCTCACTCTCCACTCCCACACTCATTTACCTTGTGTGCATGAATCTGCCTCCTTTGTTTTATGTACACATCTTTGATAACATAATTATTTATTGAATTTATTACTTATTAATGTATTAGCACAATATATTTACAATACCATGTTGTCAGCTAACAGCGAGTCAAAACAGTTTAGAAAGAAACCATGAGTGCGAGAGGTAGCTGTGTTGAAGCGTAGTGCCATGCACCCAGATTCTGGGTGTTTTTCCTTTCAAGCATAGAATGCTTAAATAAAATAAATGTACCTTGGTTTGCCTTGACTTGCTTTACCTTTGCCTTCTTTTGTTTTTCTAGGAGCTGAAGAGAAGATTCTGGAAAGTTTCAAGAAGAGCCACAGTCCAGAAGCACCAGACTTCCAGCTGCAGGCCATGATCCAGGCAGCCGGTAAACTGGTGCTGATCGATAAGCTGCTGCCAAAACTGCTAGCCGGAGGACATAAAGTCCTAGTCTTCTCCCAGATGGTCCGCTGTCTGGATATCCTTGAGGACTACCTCATACAGAGGCGGTAAGGGGAAAGTACAGCAGGCTAGAAAAGAGCGAGGTAATATTCAGAGTAAAGGAAATGTTAGTCAGGTAATTTGGGAAAGAGAGAAGAAAATTTGAAAAGGAAAAAAAAATGCAACATTTTTCAAAAAGGAGAAAGGGGAAAAGTCGATTTACCCTCAAATCTGTGTTGGTGTGTTATCTCCAGCTACACCTATGAACGCATTGACGGTCGTGTGCGTGGGAACCTGCGGCAGGCAGCCATCGACCGCTTCTGTAAGCCAGATTCAGACCGCTTCGTGTTCCTTCTCTGCACCAGAGCTGGAGGGCTGGGAATCAACCTGACAGCTGCTGACACCTGCATCATCTTTGACTCAGACTGGAACCCCCAGAATGACCTGCAGGTGGGCACAGAGCTGCGTAAAGCATCCAAAGAAGCCGTCACAAATTTGCACATGCTGTATGTAACTGATGAGACCAGAATGCCTACTGACATACAAATGAATTTGTGTTGTCAGAGCATCATAAAAAAGATGGAGATCTATCTTAATCATGCTCTCGTTTGACTGTGCTAACTTGCTGCTTGTCTCATTCATGTAATATGTAGTGACATTTGTGATGAATAGTGGGACTGCAGTGGTTGACAAAATGCACGCTTGAAAGGATGCCTTGAATAATGAAGTGAGCATGCAGTGTTACTTGACTCGGAAGGTATAAGTCTTCTCCCGGCTCTGATGCAATGCCTGTTTCTGTATCTTGTATCAAGCTTTCTTAAAATCTTTACAGTTACGAAGATTTTTCATTAACGTGTCGATTTTGATTTTGTCAAGTCCCTGTTTTTGTCTTTCTTGCTGATCTGTTAAATGTTGAACAAATTCACTCTAATTAAACTACAGGTTAATGTGCTCATGCACAGTTAGTTTAAAAAAAAAACAAAAAAATAGAAACTCCTAAATAGACATGGTTGAATCCTCATGCTAAAAACAATTTCTCTGAACTTATAAACTCATTTATCTTTACACTTAATTCTGGAAAGTAAGTGAAGCTAAATATCGATCCTTCCATTTTCTACCCCTTATCCTGGTCGGCATTACAGGGGCAGATGTACAGCAGACCTACTTCTTCCTAACCACTACCTCTAATGTGTATAAAAATATAGAATAATTATGTTACAGTTATGCTGAATTTGGCAAACGTTAGTCACAAGCACTGATGCAAACAATATGAAATCTTACAGATTTAAATTTACTTTGATCTTTACCTTTTCTTTAATGATGTATAAATAGTCTCAGGCCCTCATAAAGTATTTTCAAACCAAGCTGAGAGAAAGTCTCTGTAAAATGTAATGCTTTACACTTCCATGCTTCCTACTGTTATAGGCCCAGGCACGCTGCCACCGGATTGGCCAAAGCAAAGCGGTGAAAGTCTACAGGCTGATCACCAGAAACTCGTATGAGAGGGAAATGTTTGACAAAGCCAGTCTAAAGCTGGGACTGGACAAAGCCGTCCTTCAAGACATCAACCGTAAAGGAAGCCTCAATGGAGTAAGAGATTAGTTTTGAGATATTCTTATATTGTATACGATTGTTTAATCTGTATTCATTTTGGTGTGAGATGGTCTGCTGTGTATGTATGAGGGAGAGAAACCCTCAAATCCTAGCTTGTGTCTGTTTTGCGACAGGTGCAGCAGCTTTCAAAGATGGAAGTGGAGGATTTGTTGAAAAAAGGAGCATATGGAGCCTTAATGGATGAAGAAGACGAGGGCTCCAAATTTTGTGAAGAAGACATTGATCAGATACTTCAGAGGAGAACTCAGACAATCACCATCCAGTCTGAAGGGAAAGGCTCCACGTTCGCTAAGGTGGAAATTCTTAAACAACATTAAACTCCTTAAAGCCTAAAACTTAAAAAAGGCTGCACACTGGAGGGATTTTTAGGGTCTCAAATGGTGTTTTAATTCGGCCCCATAGTCTAGGTGGTGTTCACAAGCTCTGAAAGCGGAATACTTTAAATAGTTTGGCGTGAAGATCAAATGTCTTAGTACAAAATATTTGTGCTAAACCTGAGAAATTGGCAGCTTAAGACCAAACATTTGATCGTAAGCCAGCTTGTGTCAAAACCAAGTAAACATCATTTTGGGTCTTAATATTTTTTCCCCCCGCCTTCTGCTTCTCGTTCCTCAGGCCAGTTTCATCTCATCAGGTAACAGAACAGACATTTCTCTGGATGACCCCAACTTCTGGCAGAAATGGGCCAAGATCGCTGAAGTAGAGATAGACTCCAAATCAGAGAAGGTAAGGAGGCTGACAGAAAATGAAAACAAGACGGGATGAATGAAAGAAAAGGAATAAGGATGTGAATACTCTAAAACATCAGACTTGACAGTGTGAATAATAGAAGGATGAAAAAAACTTTTTTACAGTTTTACTGAAGTAGAATGCACACCTAAAACTGGAGATGTCTTTAAACTGTGTGTGTGGGGGGATGGTATTTTGTGCTCCGAACACCTAAAAACTGAAACCCCCAGTGACATGAGGATGTTTGTGATCTTCATTCTTTCCCTTTTTCCTCGGGGTTCTTTCCTTTTTGAACACCACCAGAGGATAAAACTTAGTTAGAACCTTCTTTAAAATACTTCATCCTGTTATTAGAAAGACTCATGCAATTCTTGATCAGAGGCTGTCTACATTTATCTTCTATCCAGGAGTCACTGGTAATTGACACACCCCGTGTAAGGAAGCAGACCCGTCATTACAACTCCTTTGAGGATGATGAGCTGATGGAGTTTTCAGAGCTGGACAGCGACTCAGAAGAGCGGCCTTGTCGAACTCGTCGCCTGGGTGAACGTAGCCGCCGCTACCTCCGTGCCGAATGTTTCCGGGTTGAAAAGAATCTTCTAATATTCGGGTAGGACCGGAGAGTGTGTTAAAGAAAACTGCATATGCCATATTAGACCATCAAGACTCTTAAACTCAGTTCGAAAGACAAAACGGACACCGTTCTTTTTCCAAGCTGCTGCAGAATATCTCCTTAGCGGTGGAATGATTTTTTGTTTTAGGAATGCATATACATGCTTAACAGGTGACATCTAACAGCTGGCAGTTCATGGCCATTAGACAGCGTGGCATAATTAATAATGACTTAACCTTTATCTCATATGTTTTTTAATTTGGGAGCTGAAGTGTGAACGTAAATGAGCCGAAATACAACAAGTTTTCAGTTTGATTTGTTGTGGAAAATTTTCAATAAAGTTGTGATCACACACAGTTTGTTTCAAAGAACAGATCACTGATAGAAATCTGCTGCATTTTCCTTTACTATCTCATTTGTTTTTGTGTGCATTTCTGTCCGCCCTCTCTGTTCTTTCTAGGTGGGGTCGGTGGAAGGATATCCTAAACCATGGTCGGTTTAAATGGCACCTCACAGAGAGAGACATGGAGGTGATCTGTAGGTAAGAGTAAGAGGAATCATCATTATCGTCTGTTTGTTAGCAGTAGCCAGAGTCCGACACATCATGTTTCCTTTTTGTTGTGTAGGGCTCTTCTGGTTTACTGCCTGAGACACTACAAAGGCGATGACAAGATAAAGAGCTTCATCTGGGATCTGATCACACCCACCAAGGAAGGCCAAGATCAGGCACTCGTAAATCACTCTGGTTAGCATTTTACTCTACACATGTGCTACAATATACAGTATAAAGTCAGCTTATGACCTAAAGATTGCACCACGTATTATGTATAGACCAGGATTAACTACTGGTATAAATACAAAGTTAAATTGGTAGCATTAACTCTGTGGAGAATCTTTCTTTTCCTCCTTGTCTGCATTGCAGGTTTATCAGCTCCCGTTCCTCGGGGTAGGAAGGGGAAGAAGCTGAAGAATCAGCTGAATGTTACTGAGGTGAAGAATGCTGACTGGCTGGTCCATTGTAACCCAGAGGTGGTGCTGCAGGATGAGAGCTACAAGAAACACCTCAAACAACACTGCAACAAGTCAGTGCATTAACAGAGCTTTTTGCTTATCACTACTTACATGAAGGACTTTATTTTACACTAGAGTGTGTTTGGTGGTGTTTATTTACAACATACAGAGTTTACGACATGGATTATGACACCGCTTCTCATTTCTCACTCCACAGGGTGCTACTGAGGGTGCGGATGTTGTACTACCTAAAGGTGGAGGTTCTAGGGGAAGCTGCCACTCAAGGTTTAGAGGGGGTACCTGCCAGGTATGATGCAGACAACGTAGTGTTCACATAGTGTCAGATCAGTTGGCACTGCTGACCAGATCTGGCAAGAAATGAAAACCTTAAAATGAGCTGATTTGTTCAGCATTTTGGTCTTCCCACTTTTTTAAGCTCACATTTTATCTTTTACTGTTAACGTTGGAGGGAAATATGATTGACTGGCTTGTGTTTTAGTGCACTGACTTGACGCTGACAGCACTGACGGATGGACTGTTTGTGTGTGTTGACAGTAAACTTGAGGTGCCGCTACCTGACGTCGACTACATAGAGATTCCAGTGTCATGGTGGGATGCAGAAGCTGACAAGTCTCTCCTCATCGGGGTTCACAAACATGGTGAATACAGATGTCACATTTGGCACAATATTTTGCCATGCAGCATCTACTTTTTTTTTTTTTTGCTGTGTGCTTTAATAAATATTCAGTTGTTAATTGTTTACAAATTTTTACCAAGCTCGACTTGAATTTGAACAGACTTTAAGGAACAAACATAGATGCCATCTGTTATTTGTGTGTGCAATGTGTAGTACTCTCAGATCTGTGTTTACACAATTTTTATTTGTTTATTTATTTATTTACTTTTTTTTTTTTTTTTGCTGAAGATGAGAAACTGCTTTAGAATATCACTGGACACCTACCAACATTCATTGGAAAGGAATATATGTGTCATATGTTTCCCAGATATTGACTTTTCTTGGGTGGGATGGTTAAGCATATCAACCCTTGTGTGCATATAGCTTTAGATTTATTTATTAGTTTGGGTGAAAGAAGTAATTAATTAAGTAGACAATCCCGTTGTTTTTATATTAGGTGTCAGTCATACAGACCTTGAGACTGGTCTGCAGTCCCCTGTGTCCCCTGTAAATGTGTATCCCCCAACAGGTTGGTGATTGGTTGCTCGCTGTTGCCAGGTGCAATCAGTCGGAAAGCTGCACCAAAAACCTAACCGTGCATGCTTTGCTCACTAGCAGATTGCTGTGGTTGACTCTAGTTTGCATGGAAGAAGCCAACTTTCTGCAAACACTTGCCATTTACTCTTCCAGCTATAGTGAAACTGGAAAAAATGTGATGCAAACCAGAAACGGGGAAGATTCAGATTCAAAGTGAAGGTTGTGTTGCACTTTTCATTTACCTCCAAACAGTAGTTTGCAACTGTTTTGGAGACAACTTGGGACTATCTGTGCAACCTACTGATGACCATGACAACCTGTTAGCAACTAAAAGCAAGGAGGTTTTTCAGTGCAGCACCTCTTTGCGACTAAATTCTAGCTAGCAAATGTCTGCAACCTCCAGTAAGCACATGCCAACCTGTCCCGGAAAACACACTTTTCCTTAGAGACCAGTGGTTACAGTGGGGGACATTGACCGCTCTCTAGGACTGAGTGAATAGGTTTTAAGTAACTGATTTCACATCAACTACCAATAATGTTGAGCATCCACTCACAACAGTTGATATTAGATACGTTTGCCTTGTGACTGATGCTTGTTAGATGGTAACTGACTGTGGCGTTATTTTTGTGCCACTATTCTGAGTGCACGTAAAAAAAAAATGTGAGCACACGTAAAAAAAATTTGCAGGTGCAAGTGTTGCATTTTGAGGAGAAATTTATTTTGAATGAAGAAAAGCTAAATTTGAATGAACAAAATTCATTGCTGCGTGCAGAAAATGCATTTCAGTGTTTGCTATTATCCATACACGCACACAATAGCAGCCCCTCTCGCTCAGTTTTTGCTCGCAATGTGTTGCTTGCGCTCTCAACATTTCTGCCCGTGCGCGCTCAACTCTTTCTGTACACCGTTATATTTGTGCCACAAAACCAGCCAATCACAGACTTGGATGCAAAAAAAAAATCTGATTGGCTGTTTTGGTCTCCAGTCAGCTCAAAATGACGAAATGCAATATCCCAGAATCCATTTCGTCTCAAACGAGGCAGTGGCGGAGGAATGCAGAGTGGCGGAGTTTGAAATATTGCTCTTTCTGGGTCACAAAATAAACTTTTAAGATATTTTTATGAGAGAATGGTGCTGTGTAAACTTCAAATATCTGTTTGATTTATCAAAACATCACATATTTGCAAAAGTGCTCTAATGTTTTCGGAGATGCCAACACCACTCAGACTTCACTGTTATATTAGTTCTTGCTACACTATAACATGCTATGCTGAGCTTACTAAGGCTGCAGAGCAAAACATGATAATGGAGTTTTAATCTTTCTTCAAGAAAAAAACAGCTGATAATTGCTCCATTACTGATATAATGTATTGTTTATTAACTTATTAAGTGTTTGTTTTTCCATGCATACACAATGTGCAAACGTCCTGCTGCCTCAAATACTTGTTCACACTAGTAAAAGTGTTTTTCCTCTGACAGGATATGAGCGGTACAATGCAATGCGTGCTGATCCAGACTTGTGTTTTCTGGAAAGAGTGGGGATGCCTGATGTGACAGCTCTGTCCTCAGAGCAAGCAGGAGGAGAGGTGGCCTCTGACGTCGCTGACAGGTAAGGTACACGGAGACAAACACCAACACAGCAGACCACCGCGATTGTGTTCATAGATTGCTGAAAAGGTTTTTCGGGTATTCGGGAAAATTCGAAACATTATCATCTTCTGTTTGTTGTAATTTTTGTCTTTCTTTTTGCTGTGTGTGTAACAATGAGATGTTTATATGAGTACGTCGTACTAGATTTGGTATGTGAAACGATGATTAAACACACTGATCGTTTTGGCACAGGGACCCTTCTCAGCACGTTATAAAAAGGCCTCAAAAACTTACTGTGGCAGCTCACACCGTGTTTTGGTCGTGCATATTAAAAACAAATTCTTTGTTGATATTACCTCAGTTTCTATCAGCTGGCCCTCAGTAACCTCTTTGTTTAGCACAGGGCCATTAATTAGCTTCCCTGCAGATCTTCAGCAGTTCTTTGTACTTCTTCCAGTCATCGCCTTTTATTTATATATTTATTTGTACTGCTGGTAGTAGTGTTCACAGCAGGTTGCCAACACATCCTGTCTCCTCTTGTTCCCTGTTTGTATTTGTTTACACTGTCACCTCCCCGCTCACACACCTGCTTTACATACTGAGTGTGAAGATTGAAAGCACGTAGACATACAATTATAAATGCACAGGGTGGAATTAAGGTGCTTGTTATGGTGATAACAACCAGATAATATTTTTCATATAGCTTACAGACTAACACGCTCACAGCTATTGTGAGGACATTATCATAAAGTATTCAATTTTAGGCTCACCATACCCATGAACAGTTTATAAGAACTGTTAAAATCAGCTTCAGCAGTAATGTTTTCTGGTAGTTTCACTATACTTGCAAGTCTTGCAAGAAGAAGCAATGCTGCCAGGAGCCGCGAAGGAATAACTGTCAGAGAGGGAGTGAGCCAGAGAAATAGACGACCGAGAAAAGTGTGGGAAATTTATTTTCTGGGTGCTGCTGCTGCCTCGGCTAATGGTAGCGCTGTGAAGATTAGACGCATACATTTGAACAGGAAGCTTTGATCCACTTCCTGAAGGTAATTGAAGTTGTCGTTCGCTTTGTTACCTGTTCAACCTGAAGCTGCGCCCAGCTGAGCACAGCGACTGTGTAGCAGGAAGATCTTCTAGTCTCAAAATGTTAACTCTGCAGGGTTCCTACAGAGCTTTGAGAACAGGAGAAAATAAATGAATGCAGGGAGACGATGTTACAAGGATGAAATTGTGCATGCAGAAGCAGTAGTACAGGAAATGTGGCCATGCAGAACCTGCACAGGTGTGAAAGTGTTTTGTGTGCTAATACTTCTCTTTATTGCTGCCCGAGGAGTTTTTGCTTTATGTTGAATCTACAACACACACAGCACAGGTGTGATATTTTTGGATGTTAAAAGTTTTTGAAATGCTGGTAGGAAGCCTTCCAAAAGAAACAGCAATTATACATAGAAGGATTTTTCAGGACTTTTGCAGAAACCTAATACATTGAGGAAATAAAAATCCATGAGCGATCATGAACAATGCTTATTTAATTCATTAACAGTTTATGCAAGTGATCATAAATAATGTAAAATCTAAACATGAATTCTCATTTCTGTCTTTACAAAAAATAGAAGAAAATTTGGTACTACAGGAAAGTTCCTTCCAAGATGAATAGAAGTTCTTTATTCACAGCTAATAAACCCTTTTATCTTTTTAATTTTTTTTCCTTTAAGAAGTGCCCTTAATTAACCCATGTGCTGAATTCATTTCAGTGAATTCATTAATTCATTTTCCCCAGTAAAATTGGAATCACATTGGTGCAGAATTTTAAATAAATGATTAAATAATTTGATTTAGAAGACAGTCATTTGCAAACCCCTGCGACAGACTCACAGTCTGACTCGCAGAGTGTATCCTGCTGCTATACAGTAGTTTGAATCTCACTCCGGAGAGGCAGCTGAATGGCCAGCGTGATGGTTAGTAGCAGGTGAATTTTTGAAATTAGAAAAAGGGTGATTTTCTAAAAATTTCACATCGTCTTGCCTGTTTGACAAATAGGGGGGGAAAATAAAATGCTTAACTATGTCGCCATAGCGTCTACCCAACCAAAATCTGCATGAGGGGAAAAACTATTAATTTCCTCCCTGTGAAAATGCACAATGGAAATAGCAACCCACATTCAAAAACATGAACATATGCCACAAACATCAAATCTCTGCAGAGACCCATCTGTCTTTTTTCATTAGCAAATTTTGAAATATGCTGTGCACCAAAACATTGAACAGCAGTTCAATAGTAGCTTATAACTAATATCAGACATTAGAATAACCACTCTGCTCTTTACTGGGTTTTTGAGAAATTTGTGAAGAACTAAAAAGAGGAAATAAATAAAAAAAAACAAACAATTTAAACCAGCATAAGGAAACTAAAGCAGATCTGTGTGGAGCCTGTGATGTGACTCCTCAGTGAGGCTTTGTTTTATTTTTCATAATCACATTTGTTTTTCTTCATTGCATTAATAAATTGCCACCAACAAAATGTAAGAAGATGTGAATTCATGTTCAGCTGTTTTGTTATTACAGTACCCATCACCCCACACACACACACACACACACACACACACACACCACACACACACCACACACACACACACACACACACACACACACACACACGTGTGCCATACAAAATGTTTTTTTTTTTACATCTTATCACATTGTCACTGCTCATAATCTGGCAGGCTGTTTGTTGTTGTGCTTCGTTAACAGCTTTTTCTTCTTCTGTCATCGTGTTTTCCTGCCTGTATTTACTTTTTTTTTTTAATCTGTTGTCCTAGACTGCACATTTACTCTAATTCATCCCCCGAATTCTGTCCTTACATGTGTTGCCCAGTCGTATATGGTAGAAGCTCACTAGGATATTGTTATTAACGCTTTTCTCCTCTATGTTTTTGTTTCTCTTGTCAGCGCATGCAAAACTGAGGAGACGAAGGATGATCCTGAAAACAAACCAGATGGAGGAGAAGATAGAGACGAGAGTAGCAAGGTGAAGTAAAAGCTCTCCTGAGACTATATTAGTGATATGTTTTTTGTTGTCTTCTCTTCCTCTCTCGCTCTGCACTATGCCACAGACAACTTGAGATTTCTTTGAATACTTTCTTCCAATGTGTTATAAAAAAAAAGGAAAAGTAATTTTGCATGGGGGAGGGGGATTAAAATTGCCTCAGGGAAGAATTTCTTTACGTTTTGGACATTTGCAAGCTGAATACTTGCATGGCTACTAGGTACTATTAAAATAAAATGGTTGAGTTAATGGTGCATTTTTAAACGCTCTAATACATTTGACAGCAGAACAGATAATGTTTTCCAAATGCAAAAATCTCATCTCTAGGTTTTTATTGCTTACTGAGTCAGGTTTCATTTGGCAAGTCCAGCGTGACTAACATAAACTCCAAAATGAAAGTTTAACCTGTGAATATAAAAGCTGTCGACCATCTCAAAACATGAATTCCAAAAATATTTTTTGGCTTAAGATCAGTTTTTGTCAATCTGTAGAAACCTGGCATTCACAGGGAATGTGTCTTTGTGATATGATCATATAGTCCATTTCAATAGTTCATAGTTTAATAACAGCGTGGTATTGCATTCATTATCATTTATTTTACTCCTCAGCCAAAACGGCTGACGGGGTACTGCCGTTGTTGCAGTCAGGACATCCATGATTGTAAATGCTATAACTCGAGAAGCAGGGCGACATAAAAGTTTCAAATTGATACCATAGGTGCATCTACTAAAAATCTCGGATGAATTTGAATCTTTGACTTAGAGGTTGAGGTCACAGAGGTCAAGTTTTCTAAAATCTTGTGAATGTGATCACTTCAGAACAAAACAGCACGGGATTTTCAAATTCATACCCCGGGTGCATCTGTTAGGAGACTAAGGGGTACTACTGGCAGCTGCCACTGTTCTATAATTTAAATATTCTTACTGTATCATGATTTTAATTAGAATTATACTGGCCAGTCTGAAGAATCCTTCTAAAAGAATGATTTATTGTATAGAAGAATTGTTACTCTTACACCCTGATCTAGGGGTAAGGGGAGCAGAGCATATGAATCATGTGAGACCAGGTGATGTAAAAGGACAATAATACCAGACACACCAGCAAATCTAATGGGGATTGGCTGAAAAGAAGGAGAATCCTTGCGTTGCAGTGGCCCGCAAAGTACATACTGCAACCCAACAGACATGCAGTGGTGAAACCACTCTATGACATGAATCTATGCCATAGAGCAAGGGTGTCCAAATCCAGTCCTCAAGAGCTACTGTCCTGCAGCTTTTAGATGCATCTTTGTTCCGACACAGCTGAATCAAATGAATGGCTTGTTACTGGGCCTTTGCCAAACTTGATTGCATTCTGAAGAGGTAATCCAACCCTTTGGTTCAACTGTGTTGGAGTAGGGATGCATCTAAAAGCTGCAGGACCGTAGCTCTCAAAGACTGGAGTTGGACACCCCTGCCATAGAGTATTAAGAGAGCAGTGCATCCCTACAAACTGTGCTGAAATTCCTCCACACTGATGTGAGAGACTTATAAAGTCATACAGAAAACTTTAAATCGTTGCTTCTAAAAGTGTTTTTTTTTTACAAGCTATTGAATCATAGGACACTCTAGAGTCCTTTTCACAGAACTGTGCCCATTCTGACTGAGACCTCGGTCAGGATTGAGATGCTGCTGCTGTCATGAGAGTACTGTGCTGACAGGCTTTTTAAATGGCAAGATGCTGTGTTGGATATTAACCAGCACAGTTATCAACACGCAAGCCCACAAGGCCAGCCATTCAGGAGGACACCTTCTGAGGGACACTCAAGAGACCCTCAGAAGCAAAGAGTTTTTCTACAGTCGTAGAAAAACGGTGGATAATAGCATAGACAAGGAATAATCAGGGTCAGATAGAGCCACGGCTGTAACAATTACTAATTATTGGGCAAAAGAAACAAGCAAACAAAAAACAGAAAATGATAAAGGACATGATATAGTAATATTCACAAATACAGGCAAAATACACAACAAACCAAAAAATATTAAATTAAGGTAAAGAAAAGATGGAGTTAAAACAACATAAGAAAATGTGATACAAAAAAATAATATTCAGCACAACGATAAAAGTAACAGCTAATAACAGTAACAGATAATAAAGAAATAAAAAGGTATATATTTTTAGCCAGGTGACAGAAAAGATGATTTTTGTGATTTATTTTTTTTTATTTTTTTGTGTGTTTTGTGTTATTCACAGGGAGAGGAAACCTGCTCCAGCACCGATACATCAGACAAGCCAGACAGTACTGGTCCAGGTGAGACAGTTACAAGTGTTACATACTAATATGAAGACCAAATGAAGAGTTCCACTACTCATTCAAGGACCAACCATACACATAATTCAAATTTTAATAGATAGCTTTATAATTTCTTGGCATTCGTGGGTTGTTAAAGGCTAACCTAACTTTTCAAATTGTACTTTTTCTTTTCTTACTCTGACGTTCTTTCAAATGGTTTGAAATACAGTAATTTCCCTCCACTCGATTACATTTCACTCCTCTGTTCTGACGTGAGGTGTTTTAACACGACATTTCCCATCAAAACTTATTTCATTTTTCCACTGAAGTCTTGATTTCCTTAGAGCTCTACTAAGGACTTGGATAATTGTTATAATGAGGCTTGCTTCTTCAAATCTTTGTTGTAGTATTATAAGTGCAGTGACACACATTGTTAAGGGAAAGCTGCGATGCTCTTTTTAACTAGATTCAGTGTTGATTTCTATTTGAATCAAATATTTGATCACGTTTCCTTTAAAGTTGGTATGGAAACATCATTTTACAGTTTTAATTTCAATTCTGAAATTGAGGTATTTATTTATTCTCCACCAAAAGCAGTATTAGTAGCTAAAGGTATAATATTCAGAAGTTGTTGATTACTCTTTTTAAACACAACATTTTATTATTTAAAGACATACAGAGAAAGAAAGAAAAAGATGTGGTTCAGTGAACGAGAGTGAAGCGTGTTGAGAGGTGATGCCGGTGCCAATAACCAAGCTGTGAATCAGAGATATGAAAATGTATTTTCTTATTCTTTTGCAGTAGTTTTTTAATATTTCAATGACTAAACACAGTCACGTCTGTACAATCCTGGGAGAGGCATGCTTCATCTTACCTGCAGTGGCTTTTTTGCTTTTTTGCTTTCACGCGTGCTCTTCATATATCTGTGACACAGAAACGAAGAAGAGAAGAAACACATCGACAGCAATATACTCTGGTCCTTGTGTTTTTATAGGATCACACCCTCACGTTCCCTCTGAGCTGAACAAAATAAGAGAATACATAAATAATGCAGGCTTTATCCACATAGACACACATTTGTACTGAATGATAAGTGGTTATTTAGATGCTTCTTTTTTTTGTATACCTTCAAACACATCCAGTGTGTGAAGGATCTAACGTGCTGACTCTGACTGGCTTTTCTCCAGACTCTCAGATGTCAGGTGACCTGTGCACCCAAGATGGAACTTTGGTCACCACAACGACAACAGGAACCGGGACCGGGGTGGCAGCTCTCCATGTTGTCCAAGCCCGGCCCCTCTGGCCCACAGGCCCCGCCTTGACGGCCCGATTACGTCGCCTCATCACTGCCTACCAGCGCTTCACACTACGACGCGAGCCACTGCTCAGGCATGACTTTATGCTTCACGATGGCCTCGTTGGCATGGGAATCGGAGGAGCTGGAGCTGCTCATAGTCATCACGCTGGTGGGCCACTGGCTTGGCAGCTGGGTGAAGATTTAAGAAGGTGTTCTGTGGTCGCTACAGAACCTGACCCTCTGTTTCTGGAGTGGCAGAGAAGGTAGAAATGTTTGACATAAGACAGAGATACCAAGCTTTTGTCGTATACTTTAATCTTACCTTTGTGGCTCTGCTGCTCGGCATCTTCATTCAGACACGAACGCATCTGCTTTCACATGCATTTATATGCAGTTTCTCAGTATATGTATTTATCAGTCATTTGTATTTTTCTGTGACCTTTTAGGTGGACTCGTCGAGAACAAGCAGATTTTTACCGCACAGTATCATCATTTGGGGTGGTGTATGACCCGGAGAGGAAGGCATTTGACTGGTCCCAGTTCAGAGCTCTTGCCAGACTGGAGAGGAAGACTGATGAGAGTCTGGAAAGATACTTCAATTCCTTTGTGAACATGTGCAGGACAGCATGCAAGCTTCCACCCAGGAAGGAAGAAGGTACTGTTTATGATAAATATGCCGGTTGGGGTTGTTACTGACATCTGTGATGGACTTAGTTTATCAACAGGGTAACCCTTGCTAATTTGTATTATTGCTCAGCTTCATGTTCCAGTTAATGTTTTCTGGGCACTGCAGGTTTTTGGTTTTCAGCCACACTTCTTAAGCCTACAGTTAAACAATACATCGTTTAGACTTTGTCATAAGAGTGTCAACTTGCAGATCATTTTTGAGGACCTCGTCATTGGGAACATTACTGACCCCTGCTAGTAAAATAGCCTCCATAGATGTAGTTTTTATAACTCATTTAACTACAAATTGCATGTTAACATATAATTTACACATAACTTACTCTCCTGTATATACGCAGGATAAAACACAAAATCATTTAAAGACAGGAGTGACTCTTGAACACACTAATACTCTCCATCCCTTTTACTCTGGTCTGCATTTTTCCTGCCTTCTCCACTGTCTCTATGCCAACATTGACTGTCACTGTTTCCGTTTCTCATCCTTTTATTCTTTCTCTGCTTCCCCTCCCTTTCTCTTGCGTCTCCCAGGACTGGTGGATCCCGCTGTGATTGTGGAGCCTCTGACAGAAGAAAGAGCAGCTAGGACGCTATACCGCATCGAGCTGCTGCGCAAGATCAGAGAGCAGGTGGGCTCTTTGAAGAAACAAAGCTTAATAACAAATAGCGTCCTTTTCATCGATGGAACTCTGTTAGACATTGACTTCAAAGTTTATCTTGCTTGTACTGTTCTGAGTTTGTGTTGATGGCTTAGAGGGGTTCAAATTAACCTCATTTGTCCCTCCTTAGCTCCCTTCTTTTCAGTGTCATCAAAAAAAGGCTAAAGATAAAAAAGTGAATCATCGGTGAACCTGTATACAAGTCATTAAAAAAAGACACTCCCTACAAATGATGTCATATCTAACCTCAGAATAGACATTTAGACATTTTCTACATGGTCAAAAGTGTGAACTGTTTATAAGTCAGACTGTTTATCATGCGTTAGGTTACACAGCTAAAAACTGGGGCTGAGGTAATGCCCACAGCTAACTCGCTAGTTGTGTTGGGGAGTCTAGTGCCAAGGGTCAAAACATATTTGTCCAGAAAGCATAAAACAAAAGAACGACACTTCTGTCTACTAAACCTGACCATCTCTCTGACTATGTGAATATAAAAATGGATAAAATGTAGACATTTTCATTCGGTTAAGAAAGTAGCTTGGTCTCTGAACTGCATCCCTCTCTCAGGTTCTCCGCCATCCGTTACTCTCAGCCCGTCTTCAGCTGTGCCGGCCCTCGCTCTACCTCCCTGTATGGTGGGAGTCTGGCAAACACGACCGCGACCTCCTTATTGGGGCAGCGCGCCACGGTTTGAGCCGCACCGACTTCTACATCCTCAACGACCCTCAGCTGAGCTTCCTGGAGGCTCACAGGAACTATGTCAGGGGACACCCTGCTCACCTTCATCCTCAAAGCCACCATCACCCTCATCACACTGGCTTGGCGACTCATCCTGGCATCTCATCCTCCTCCTCATCTCATCCCCAGCTTCCTCATCCTCACTGCTGTCTGTACGATTCGGGACTCGGTCGCCACTCTCCTCAGCCTCCTGAATATCCCCACCAATCCTCTCATCACCACCACCATCATCATCACTCGCAACACCCTATACCTCCATCTGCTCCCTCTCCTTCCTCTTCCTCTTCTTCTTCTTCTCACCCTCACCTTCACCCTCCACCATTGGATGCTCATGATTCAGCTTCACCAAGTCTGGGAATAGTTCCTGGACCTCGAGGAGATTTCCTTGACTGTCCACCTTTGGATGAAACTCTGGAGCTGGGCACGCTACAGCATGACACCATGTCTGCAGATTCTTTACATGGAGGAAAGGTTTCCAAAGATGCCCTCAACGGTTTCCCCTTTAACTCAGCTGCAGGAGGTCAAAGCATGCTCAACTCATACGGTGTGGGTGGGACAGACCTGGATTCAAAACTAAGGAGTGATGTGCTCGTTGGTGAGCAGGGCTCGTCTGAGGAAACTGGGCTGATGGCACCATCAGTGGAGCTGGATCAGTTACAGGTATGCAGTGTTATTTGAGATAACTACTCTGATATTTAAATAAGACTTGTATAATAAACTATGTCTGTGATTGAAATGTCAACTGTATGGACTGCATGAGATGCTTTGTTTCTGCCCTAAGCAAAAATTTGAATTTATAGGAAATTTATAATTTATATGTTTTAAGCATTTTTATTGTCTGATATAGCAAATATCTGACGTTATGACACCTACTCGGTTAATAAAAATATAATAAAAATGTTTTTGGTCATCAACTAACCATTTGAAATTTAACAGTTCAAGTTATTCACATAGGTTTTCTTATTTCTGTGCTTTGACATCCTACACTTCTGTATTGCAGGCTCCCTGGGACAGTACGGACCACACTAGTCCTGCTCACCATATGTTCAATGAATCTGATCCAATCCTGGGTCCTTCTACCTTAGAGACGGGCTTCCTGGAGGAGGAGGATGAGGAGGCACAGGGGGGAGACAGAGGAGGGGAGGAAGGTGGAACTCTGGAGGAGTGTTTGGGCCTTCCGCCCTCATCCCCTCCTTCCCATCCATCAGCAGGCGATTCTGTTGAGCCACTGTCCTCAAGTTACATGCTCTTTAAGGTTGGTTTCACCAGCCTGTGCCCTCTGGATAACAGTGCCATCTTACAAAATAAATATAAAATGAATTTTAAAATCATCTTAAATGTCTTTGTAATCACAGCCCTCAAGATAACAATAATCTGAAACCCTTTTCATATTATCGGCTTAATGCTCAAATAATGTAATGCAATGTGTCCAGTGGGGCAGACGGTAGATAAACATGGAAAAATTGCTCTAACAAAAGAGGAAAAAGTAAAGGGGAAAATCTGTTGTAGGGAATATTGAAAACACAAAAGTGCTCAGCTGCATTGTTAACTGCTGACATTTTGCCTCTTCTTTCGGTTAGTATATTCAATGAACGGGTTGTGTTTCAGTAAAGCTCAAATGAATGCTGATCTTTGATGTTTGTCCGGGTCATATTGCTCCAAGTGAAACTATTCATTGGATTTTGCATATTTTACATTTTAAGATCTGTAAAACACATTTGCCAAACACTAAGGGCTGCAGTTATCAAGTATTTGCCAAATTATTTTCTAAAATGGCATCTTTTCAAATTCTATTAGATTAGATGAAACTTTATTAATCCCTCAGGTGGGTTCCTCCGGGAATTCAGTTTCTAGTAGCACAGCACCGATAGAAGTTGCGTGTTACAGATACAATAGAGGGGAATAAGAGTAAAGATATAAGCATAAATATACCATATATACACATATATAAATACAGAATATATAATATGGATAAATAGGGATACCAGTGGATTGCACATTTGAGTGAGTCTATTGCACAGTGATTATTGCACAGTCGAATAGAAGAAAAAATATTGCAAAGTTTGCAAAAAAAAAATAAAATAAAATTGTAATAATTGAGAGAAAATTCTGAAAGACTTCTCAAAGATGGCCGTTTTAGCTGCAGTTTAACATCAATGTTAAAAAAATAGCATGTTAATTTTTATGACATTGGAAATGTTCATTATAGATTATGTTCACATCGTGCGATTTACATCTTTCCTTTTTTACCCCTCAGCCGTAAAAGGCTGATGGCATGTTGTTGTCACCCTGCAGGCGGCATGGACACGCGAGTTTGTGAATGTAATACTTTAGAGTAAGGTGACATAGGAGTTTCAAATTCATTTCACAAATGTTTTGATTAAAAATCTGGGATGAATTTGAGTCTCAGTGACCTCGACCTCAAGGTCAAAGGTCAAGTTTTCTGAAAATCTCGTGAATATGATAACTTGAAAACAAGGTGATGTAGAATTTTAAAATTGATACCATAGGTTGTCTACTAGGAGCTTGAGGGGTAGCACTGGTGTCGCCAGTATTTTTTTTAATTGCAGCGATGAATAGCTGTGTGTGTGTGTGTGTGTGTGTGTGTGTGTGTGTGTGTGTGTGTGTGTGTGTGTGTGTGTGTGTTTTTTCTTTTTTTTTTTAAATCAATTTAAATGTTGGAAAGCTGCGACTTGATCACACCATCATTATACAAGTAAACTAAAGTTAATAATCAGTAGTATTATATTATTGCCAAAATGAGCAATGCCATTTAGGCTTCAATAAATCTAACACTTATATTTTGTGTCCAGGACATTGGTGTGAATGAAGAACCGAGTGCAGATCACACGGACCTGTCAGCAAGTCCTCCTCTGCCGTACGTACCCCCTCCTCCACTTTCTCTGTCTGACATCACTGCCCATGAGCCACAGGATGGACTGGGGCACTCTGATGTCTCTGAGAGCCTGACTAATCCTGTGGAGGATGGAGATGATCGGGAGGAAAGTACCGGCTTTGAGTTTGATGATAAGGAGGAGGAAGAAGTTGAAGACTTGTCAAGGGAGACCTTGGAACAGAATGTGGAAAAACAAAGAGACAAACATCTGGAAGGAGAGGAATGTAATCCAAACCAAGGTATGTCAAAGGGAAAATATTGAGCATAGTATTTAACCTACTTTTTTTTTTTCCAGGAATGATCACAAATATTCAGTTTGTAAAGATGTACAAGTTGCTGTCATACATACATGTTAATATATCATAAATTATATCAGTTGCTAATGAAATGTCCTGATGTTTTAAGATTTCTTTAGGCCGTATACACTATGGCAAAGCCTCTTAATAACTTTAAACCGTCTAATGTTTTACGCCCCAATCTGAGGATTAAAAAAATGAAGAGATAACACCAACCATTGCTATGTCCCCTACATTACATCTCAATGTTTTTTGCTTGCAGGTGCAGACCAAAGTTTGGGAGTTTTGAATCCACCCATGGAAGTGCCAGAGTTAGAAGGGATAGAATCAGAGTCTGCCCTTGGAGAACAGGGCGAGAGGAAGGAAGTCTTTATCCAAATGTCTCAAGACCTCGAGGGTCGCTTTGACCAAGCAGAGCATAAAAAGGACTCACCCCAAGACGTGCACTCTTATCTTGGAAAGCTCGAACAGGAGGGCAGCCTATCTATTGAAGAGCCTACGGAGGAGGTGGAGGGGTTGATTTTGTACCAAGCGGTGGAGGAACGGTCTATTGAAAATTCTCTTGACACTGAAGCATTGATGTGCAACACAACTGAAGAGTTTGTGCAAATGAAAGGAATTCCAAAAAAGTCTAGACAGGGCAGCTTGATGGGTCACACAGATCTAGCAGATCAGGTAGATGAGATTTCCGAAGGGCAAGAGGATAATGTTTCTCCGTTTGATGTTCCGGTTGTACAACCCTGTGATGAGGAGGAAGAAAAGCGTTTGAAACAACTAGATGTCAAAACCAATGAGATGGAGTTGGGTAGCATTTACTCGCAATTTGGACAGCTCTCCTGCCCTTCTGTTTCTGTGTCATCCCCTACACAACCATCAAACTCTACTGAAACCACCAGAGAGAGCAACAGCATGGAGGAAGCCAAAAATGAAGCCTCTATGGCACACTGCAAGGGTTCAGACGAAGACCTGAACTTGCCCGATGGCAGCAGAGACTGTAAGAATAACGCACTAAAATTCTCCCTTGATCAGGACAGCAAAGATAACCTGCTCGATCAAAATGAAATCAAAATGGGCTCAACTCTGCCTGTGAACAACATCGACACAAAACCATCTGACCTTAAATTTTCTCATTTACCCGATGGTGAGGAGAAACCAGAGCAATTGTTGCTACCAGTCAAGATTGAAGATACCAAGACACAGACTATTGAGGATGTTTGCCCTGATAGCTCTGAAGTCAAACACACCAGTTTCTTTTCCTACCCCGTAAAGTCAGAAGGATTGGTGACCAAAGCAGAGCAGTTAGAATATCCGATTAAACCTGAAACACTGGAGACTAAACCTGAAGATCTGAGCTTTCGTATGAAGCCAGAGCATTTAGACACTAAACCTGAATTTTTGCAGTTTGTAGCCTATGCAGGTGGCAGCGAAGTCAAATCAGAGGTCAAACCATTAGCTCTGGGGTTTAGTGCTTATCCAGAGAGTCCTAAGCTTAAGACCGAGGCAAAGCCTGAAGACCTGAGGTTAGCAGCTTTTCCTGAGACATCTGTCATCAAGCCTGAAGCCAAGGCTGAGGGTCTGGGGTTCACAAGCTACCCAGAAAGTTCTGAGATAAAACCTGAGGCCAAGCCAGAGGTCCTTGGGTTTACAGCGTTATCTGAGGTCAAAACTGAGACAAAACATGAGATGTTGGAGGCAGATAGCACAGTCCTGACCCCAAAGCTTGAGCAGAATGATGGCCTAGTAGAAACCTCAGAAAGTGCAGAGTTGAAAGGCCAAGTAAAGGAGGAGAGACCCAGTACACCCGGTGAGGATGCTGAGACTTTCATGAAGTTAATTCACCTTTCACACTTAAATTCATTTGTTTGTACTTAACCCATTTCCATTTTGCACAGTGCCTGTGGTCGAAGGGTTTTCTGCCAGCCCCAGGTTTGCAGCTCCCATTTCAGTGTGTGAGATTCCTGACAGCCTTCATGAAACCAGAGAGCCAACCATCGCTCAGCTGTTACAGGAGAAAGCACTGTACTCATTTTCTGAGTGGCCAAAGGTAAAATATATGTTTAACTATTACTGTAACATTCTCAGTGATGTGTTTACAAAATATTTAACAGTAGACGTTGATTCTCCCGTGGTTAAAACATTTTTGACAGTAAAGTTAGAATAATTATTTTTATAAATTCTGCTCTTCCTCTTTTGCAGGAAAATGTTTTCGTTTTTGCCGATTAGAAGCAAAAATACCCTGTTTTGAGTTCTCACCGGCAATTTCACTGCTTTCATTTAGAGGACAGTGCTGACGCTGCTTAGAAAGTCTGAAAAGACAAAATGAGTTTTACATTTTAGCTAAATTTTGTGGCACTTGGTACACTTCTTGTAAATTAAGTTATTCGTGTTTATTAATTAATTTCTCCGCTTATTTTTATGGCCCCTGTAGGATAGAGTAATCATCAACCGCCTGGACAGCATCTGCCACGCCATCCTTAAGGGGAAGTGGCCTTCATCTAGCGAGCAGTATGACTCACCAGCCGCCCTGGCTGCCAACTCCTGCTTGGCCAACAGTTTAGCCCAGCACCACCAACACCGAGCAGGTTTTCTCTCCACCACGGCCTCGGGCTCTGTCCCAACCCAGGCCAGGGTGCAGCAGGCGAATCCTGCACTGGGATTTTCCATTCCTCCCCCTCTCACAAGACTACCTAAGGTGAGACTCGAAGAGTGAATGAATAAATTAACTCCCTTTGTTGCACATATCGGTGTATCTGTCATCTGTCAGCATTTATCTCTCCCATGCCATGGCTCATACAAGTTGTGCCCAGTTTGCTTAAAGTGCTAACAAGGCTGACTTTAGACTGACTATAATCAACTGACTGACCAGGTCTTTGCAAAATGCATCATGAGTCTGACCGAGTTTTTCATTTTCTGCTAAAGATTTTGTTTGTTTGTATGTGTCTCCTTAACTCTTCATTGTTATGTTCTATATAAAATATAACTGCAATAGTTATAAATAAAACTATTAGCACTGGGCACCTCTAATCCACACCATTGCTTTGTTGCTTATTGTGAAGTTTCCTGTCTCAGTAATGTGTACTGTTGATAATATAAATGTGGAGATTAGACTTGGGCAAGTTGTCATATATCTATAAAGACACATTTCATATATGCGAGAGTGAGAATAATGACCAGATTTGTGTCTCTGCTCTGAGTTTATATTCTGGCTGCTTAGCCTTCAGCGTTTTTAAACCAAGAGGTTTGTTTACAAAATGTTTGACACCATAGGCCAGCGAACAGATGGATTATGAGCTGTTTGTTCCGTGTCTCATACTTTCAGATGTAAACAAGTTAACTTGTCAGGTGCCTGAAGCAGCATCCAAAGATGACACACTCACTCTCAGGAAAAAAAACAAACAAAAACATTTTAAATATCTAACAGTTTTACCCAGGTCTAGTTGACAGCCGCCACTGTGTTGTGTCTCAGTCCATATGTATGTTTAATAAAGCCATCATCTCTCTCCCATTCTTGTCTACCCCTCACCCACCCTGTCCACCCTGACAGTACATGCCGCGGGGCGGCGCATGCGGGCGCGGAGCTTGGCGCCTTACCTCCTTGCCTCTGTTACAGGAGAGGCTTGTGGCTCCTGCCTTCCTCCCTGAGCTCAAACGAGCAGGAGGTCGGAGGTCTTTCGACTATGAAGCCGCTGCTGCGGCAGCTGCCAAGGTTTTAGCTGGAAAATCTGCATCGTCATGCCACACTGCTGTTACCACAAGCTCCAGTAGTGATAAAGCACCCGTGGTTGCTCCGCCCTCTCACCGTACAGGAGCCATATTGATAAATGGCTGGCAAGAAGCAGCCATAGATCTGACCAAGTCTTCAGGAGAAATAAGCACCACGAGTAGCATTGGAACAAATGAAGCTGTGGTTGCACCAGGAATCAGCCACCTCAATGCTGGTGCGGGCAGCAGTCATAAGATACCACCGCCACCTCCCATCACGGCCCCGCTGCCAGGCCCCGTGGGAATCGACATGGCCGGAATTCTGCAGGCGGGGCTCATCCATCCGGTAACAGGACAAATAGTTAACGGGAGCCTGAGGGGAGATGATTCAATGAGGAGGAGGAGAGGGAGGAGGAGAAATGTGGAAGCTCTGTACTCTGAGTTCACCAAGAGCCGAGGACTGCACCTCCCTGAATCACAGGTGGGTAGAGGGAGGAGGGCCTTTTCAGAGTAAGGGCATTTAGAATAGTTGCACTTACTTCAGAGTGAAAGAGAAGCACCACCGAGAACATTTTGGGGACAAAAAACAAAAGATAAAGTTGATTAAAAAAGAAAGAAGAAAGTAAATCTTGTGTTATCTATATGTGTCTGTCTCTCCATGTACAGGGCCGGGTTGAGGTGATCAGCCACTCTTCTGTTTCCTCCTCCACCTCCTCGCCATCCCCCTCTCCCTCAGAGCGACCTGCAGGTCCTCCCACACCGTCCTCCTCTTCTACTCCCACCCCAACCCAGACACCTCCTCAGCCAGAGATTGTGGCCATTGACAGAGAGGCAGCCGGCAAAGGTCTAATTGAGTGGCTGAGACAGAATCCAGGCTACACCATGGATCTGCCGGCATTTGCTCATGTAAGTCGAGGATTTCTAGGATTGTAATGCTCTAAATCCTGCTGTGTTGTATTCTTTATATTTTGCCTTTTCTGTATTGGAATGTCCTCTGCTGAGGCTACAGTTGAGCACTTATTCTTTTATGCTCAGATTAATTGGCACTTACAACCTTTTTCCCCATCTACCCTCCCTGGCTACTGTGCAGTCTGGTGCAGGTCTGTTGCATGGTTTTGTAGAGCGTCCCAAACAGAGGAGGCATCGCTGTAAAGATCCCACCAAGCTGGATATAAACTCTTTGACGGGGGAGGAGAGGGTCCCAGTTGTGCACCGCGGCACTGGACGCAGGGTAGAAAACACACACAGACACGCATATAAAATACATGAAACACAAAAATCAAATAAAAGTGTTCATTTTAAAACATAAAACTGAACCAATGAAAGTTCAGCCATGGGAAGTAGAAGGATTGCTGTGTTATTGCTTCCTTTGCTGCAGTTTGGTGGCGCTTTGCTGTCCACCAATAATACAGGCTGCCTTTGAGTAGGGGAAGCTAGAAAAAGCCTACATACAATTTGATATCATTGCAACTACACTGTGCTGGTTTTCCTACTTTGCAGCTTGGTGGTGCTATGGCTCCGGCCATAAAGGAGCTCTCTAGATGGTTGGATGCCAACTCGGAATACTATGTGGCTCCAGACTGGGCTGATGTGGTCAAACACTCTGTGAGTATGATACTGTGTAGCATTGGATGTCAACAGGGTGTGTTTTGCCCCTCTCTGACATCAGTTGTAAAAGACAACGAGCCCCAAGTGTAACATTTCCTCAGAAATGCCATGCACATCAAGCCTGTGTAGCAGGATATCACAGACTGCAGAAGGCTGACATAAGAAGCTACAGATCTTTTTCTGATGTAGAGAATCAGGCATGAGTTGTAATTACTGCCACTTTTTAGGATGTTTTTGTGAAAGCCCTGAAAATTTTGAAAATCTGTTGCGCTGAAACTTATTTCACTCTCATTCAGTTAGTTGTATAGTTTTCATGCTAAAACAACCAATTGGTGCCATACTAAAAATGCAAGTATGCAAGCAAGTAGATTTGGAAAGAGATGTAGCGTCATCTCTACTCTCACAGGAGTGTCAGACCAGTGAAAGACTAAAAAAAAAATGATGCTTTTAATTGTCCTTTTGAATTTTCCTATGGCTGTTCTTCTACCTGCGATACTTTGTCAGTTCCAGTTGTTCTTGTGCACTAATGTGTTGTCTCATGGCCTCCTCTTGCAGGGTTTCCTTCCTGAAGGGAAGTTCTCTCGGATCCTCACAGAACCCGTCAACAAGGACCCAAGTTCCCGCCGCCGTGGACGTCGACCTCGCAGCGAAATGCCTAAACCTCTCCTGTCCGTCTCGGACTCTTCCTCACCGGGTCTCGGTCCTCCTCTCTTCATGAATGGTGGTTTGATTGGCAGCATGGACTCCATGGTGGCCATGCAAAATCTCCGCAGTGGTATCCCTGGAATTCCCATCTCTGGGATTATGGCAGCTGGATTCCCGCATGGTTTCCCTGCAGCTGTCTCAGCGGGAGGAGCTGGGGGGTCTGCCGAAGATGCCAAGAATGGTCTGAGTATGTTACCCATGATGCTGCATGGAATCCCGCACCCCCATGGGGCTGCAATCCCACAGCATGCTTTGTTCAGCGTTGGCACCATGATGGCACACACGCCACCGCCACCTTCTCCTCATCCCAGCTCCTCCTCCTCCTCGACTTCCTCCTCTTCTTCAGCGTCTGCTGTGAAGGTCACCACGACAACCGCACCGTCTGCAACTGAGGCGGCCAGCCCTTCTTCGACAACGCCTGCAGAAAGAGAGGGCAGCGCCCCTGCTGCTGGTGGCGAAAAGGACAGGACGCGGGAGGAGAAAGGCGCTGCAGAGGCTAACAAACGACCAGTAGCGGCAGAAGCAGCAGCCATCATTACCTCCACCACCAGGGCCCACCTCAGCTCTGCACATCTTGGAGCTGGCACTGGCAGCCATCTTACCTTCAACCCTTTCCTAATCCCGGGCATGTCCCACGGTTTGCTTTACCCACACATGTTCTTGCCACATGGTGGCATCATGGCACTTCCAGCCATGCCCCCTGGTGCAGTTGATAGCTCTCCAGGCAGCCCCAAGAGGAGAAAGAAGAGAGGAAGAGAAGAAGGCGAGCGAGAAGAGGAGAGGGAGAAGGCAGCAACTGGAGATGGAGAGGAGAGAGAAAGTACAGATAAGGCTGGTGGTACCTCCCACCCAGGCACCTCTTCATCTCCCTCCATCCCCTCTACCTCAGCTTCAGACCCAGACCCAACTCCAGCTGACGAGCTCCAGACTGGGCAGGGGAATGCAGAGGGTGGGTCTTCAGAGCCCCAGGAACCGGACTCCAATGACCACACTGAGGGAGCAACAGAAGACAATGAGAAAAGATCGGAGGAGACAGGAGAGGAGGCAAAGGAGGAGGAGGAGAAGCAGGACACTGAGGAGCAGAGACAAGTGGAACAAGAGGATGCATAGAGGAGAGGAACTGCAGAGGCCTGAAGGACAGCCCACTTCCTGCTCTCTCCTCCTGTCTCCTTTGTTGCTCTCCTTTCTCAGCTGAGCAACAGTGTAAAATTTGTGCCGTGTCTGTCAGTCAATGTCCATGTAAAGACTTTTATTATGATGATGACTAATAATGATGACGATTATATTCAGCTCGGTCATGTTTATATACCAAGACCCCACCCACCCTCTCCACTCATTCATTGTATACAAAGAAAACTAGTGTAAAAAATGATCCTCTCTGTAGTGTTCTCCTTCATTCTCCATTGAGACTGAGTCGGGAGGGATACTTCTCAACAGGAACACACCCAACACACACCGAATGCAACCTGGCCTGACCAAGAGCAACTCTGACCGTAGTATTGATACCGTTTTAGGCTCAAGGTGAGCCAAGGTGGACAGGCAGCTTTGGTTTTCGCCTGGTTTGTATGGACACAAGGATGACTGGGAAGGTGGGGCACAGCTGCCAGAAGTGGTTTTTCCGAAGTTATTTTTCTCACCACAGTTTGGAAATTCTGAAAAGCTCATGCGGGGGAGCGATTAAATCTTGTGTTTTGACACACTCCACTAAATCTAGGGAAATTTGTGCAATGTTCAATGTTCATGCCGACTAGATTAATCTAAAAGGAGAACAGTCATTCAGATATGACACTAAAACACCTTTTCCTAGTTGATAGTAACAGAAAAAACAACCTAAGTATCTAAATATGCAAGAGCCAGTGTCTGCTGCAGAAACACAACAGACCCACAAAGATTTTAGAGAGTAGCCCTTTTGAAATGTATCTAAATCACGTTGATATGATTGTGGGCGTTATTGAATAAAAGTATGTTTAGTGCATTTAAAAAGGCTGCCAAATTAGAAGAAATTAATTTGTCTCTACTAGTTTTATACCTAATAAAGTTAACAAAATTGTGAGAATAATGTTAACTAGAAGATCACAAAATACGAGCCAGGTTAGTCCATCCCAGTCACGAATGTTAAATCCTAACTTTAAGATATTCTGCAAGTTCTCCATGCTTTAGATGCATATTTTATTTTAATTATAATGTTATCATGATTCTTAATATTGTGTTGCTGCTGCAGTAACTCCTCCATAAAGTAGATCACAAAGATAAATCGAACGTGAACACTAGATTATGAATCCAGATTCCCACAACAGCAGTACAGCAGAAATTCCGAACAGCTATCAAGAGAGGCTTAGGCATATGCTTTCTCATTTGCTTTTCTTTATAAAGGCAAGGAACAATCATGAGATTCATTTGTTTTATTACTTTTATTAGCTCATGTAATTTTATTTTTTAACTCAGCCACAAAGTCACTTTGGGAGACCCCCACCTCCCTCCCTTCCCCTCAAGTGGTTAGCTCTAATCAGAAAACATGAAAGGGCAGGAACATCAACCCTAAGCTCATCCTGGCCACCAGGGGGCAGTAGGAGGTAGATGTGATATCCTGTCTTGCAAACACAGGAGTGGGGAGGAGGGCTGTGGGAGAGTAGAGGAAAAGAAGGTGCTCTTTTTTTGGTCCCTTGGGGTTCATCAAGTCCTAAATTGCATTTACTTACAACAAATCAGGTAACCAGCATCTCATCAGGAACAGTGCAAAATGATGCTGCATAATGATTACAATCATGACCTGTAGCATCAGTCGGTCATCCCCCCCACTGTCCTTTTCCTGTTTTTCTCCTTAGTGTGTTCAGAAAGAGATTACCTGTGCTGTGTCGATCATCTGTCCAGGGAAAGGGAACAGTCTGGTTTTTGTTTTTTTCTTTTTCTTTTTGTTATTTTTTTTTTTTTTTTTTAAAGAATGAAGAACAGATAAAATAGGGAGAGGAGGGATATGGTAGTAGTATGAATCACTCTGGCTTTCCCCCGTCACATTAATTTTAATAGCAGTTCATACTAAGAGTTTCTAAATATGTAAATCTATCGCTGTATATTGCTGATTTTGTTTTTTTGTTTTAAGCGCACCATTGATTTCTTCATTGTCTTTACTTTGTTCCTCCATTAGGGGGAAGAATACTTGACATATGCGTAGAGGATTTTTGCATAGAGCTTAGTCCCAGTTTTTTTTTCTGTATCAAACAGACTGTACTGTACATTAAAAGGATGCAAGTTGCTGGTTTTATTCAGTCTTTTCACGACAGGGTGTGTATTTTGGGGGTAAATGTCAGATGTTTCTGATGTAACGTATAACTTCACTTCTTTTTGTTTTCATATATGAAAACATTATTTTTGCACAATGTCTTTTTGTGAATGTTAACCTGTTTCCGTGTGGTCTTTTACTTTCCATTGTGTGTGTGTGTGTGCGTGTGTGCGTGAGTGTGAGCGTGCGTGCGTGTGTGTGTATGCGAGAGTGTGCTGTAATGGGAGAAAGTGTGTATGTGTGCATGCATGCGCACACATTTTGTGGTGGAGCAGTTTCTACTCTGTTTCGTCCTTACAGGTCACATTTCTTGTTGGGGAAAAAAAAACAAACATAGTTGTTGCCTAATTTATTATACTTTTCTTTTGCTTTGCCAAACTTTCACCAAATATGACATTCTTTTTCTGTTAGTTTCATTATGTATTATTCAAAGTAAAATGCCTTATTTAGCGAGTATTTTTTTGTATAGATGTTCAATTACATCTCCTTATTAGGTCATGTTATTGTTTGTCTTTCCTTTTTGTTTTTATGCGTACACGGCGTTGGTGATGTGCATTATCTTCAGAAGCCAATAGTAACGGAAGGTACCACTGCTCAAATCGCTACATTTATCCCTAAAGGTCAATCAATCATCCCTCAAAGCACAAATGGAGAGTTAACAAAAAGTGACTGTTTGCTTACCAGTGCCTCTAAAATTGCTTTCATTTCTCTTTTTGTGAGCCTCACTTGCACGCTATCTTGACTTCACGTTTCCAGTGTGGCGATTATCTTTTGGAAAGTGGTTAACATTTGAAAATCTAAGTGTTGGATTTTATCATTAGATGATGCCATGCTGTTCTTTAAAGGGAAATTCTGGGATTACTCAGTCTGGATCTAAATTTCAGAGTCTTATTGAAGAGTTAGGGTTAGCGTCTGCAACTTTCAGAATCCCAAAGTTAAACTTGTAGGGTAAATACCGTGCACACTTTTATTGACTAAAGCTGTAAAGTTAATGGAGATGAGCGCTGCACCCTAGCTGCTCTGCAGTTCACTGCTGCAGTCGTTTTTAAAGCTTTTTTCTTTGCACTCAGAGCTGTAATTATTCATGCTTCGTACCCTGACCTGTTACATTCTTAGCAGTGTTTAGCTTCTCAAATCTCCACAAGAAATCTGCTGATAATTAGAGGAATAAGACACAAGCTGGGAAATATCAGAATTTCCCTTTGAGGAATGCTACTTAATCTTTTAGAATTCTCTTCCTTCACGGGGCCTTGTGTCTGGTATCCAGCACATCTAGGATGATAATGCGCACACAGTATGTATGCAGCCTAAGTATTTGATTGTTGTCGTGTGTTATTCGAGATTCCCAAAAGAGCAAATCAGAAGGGGAAGCCAGTCGCTTTGCACCACAGATGATTTATCTCAAAGGAACGGGCAAGCGTTGCGTTCCAGAGGTCATGTGTGCACATCATTTGCTGTTAATGGCTTATTCTTGTGCAAAAACTTGTGAAACAAACTTGCAGGTGCAGTATGTAACCACAGCTCGGGGGCGGGGGGGTTAATCAAGTCGACTGGCGATGGCTCTGTATTGTCTCTTCGTGTCACACCATGCCTTCTTTAACAGTGTTTTTCTTTTCATTGAAGTTCTCGTTGGTTAACTTAAATGTTCTTCAAAACAGTCACCTCAAAAATGTAAACGTTTATCTCTTATCATAAAAAAATGTATTTATTGTACAGTTCTCGTCTTTACGTTGTTGACTGACCAGTGGCTGGTTTTGTTAAGTTTTCTCAAAGACAAAAGCATTTTGGTTCACGTGGAATTTAAAGTATCTGGTAATGTCACATGCCCTGTTTTTTAATTTGTCTTCTTCTTCCTATTTTTTTTTTTTTTTTTTTTTTTTTTTTTTTTTTTTTAGATGTAATTACATCAAAATTAAATGGTTAAGAGTTCTTAGAATACCTCCTCTTTATTTTGTCTGTGAAGGTTCTCAGTCATCCAGGTCATCGTAGTCGAAGGAGCTTGCCAAGAAAAGCGTCTGGACTTCTTTAAGTTACTTGAAGACGTTTCACCTCTCATCCGAGAAGCTTCTTCAGTTCTAAGGTCAAATGGTGGAGAGTCCCAGATATAAACCTAGTGGGAGTATCCCCCCACAGAGGGATGTTCAATTACTCCCACTAGGTTTATATCTGGGACTCTCCACCATTTGACCTTAGAACTGAAGAAGCTTCTCGGATGAGAGGTGAAACGTCTTCAAGTAACTTAAAGAAGTCCAGACGCTTTTCTTGGCAAGCTCCTTTGACTCCTCTTTATTTTCTTTTCATAGTCCCCACGGTAATCCAGCGTGAGCCACCCTTTGGTACAGTCTGCAGATGCAGGATCCTTTCTAAAGCTGCAGTACAGTAGCATACTTTTTCAAAAACCTGTTTTTATTTTTTCCTCTAGAACGAGAAGATGACTGAAAACTAGCAGGTTTTGAAGCTGACATTGTAGGGAATCTGCAGTTCAAACAAGTAAAGTACCTGAAGAGTCTGTCAGATTCATGACGTGTTAATCATGCATTTAAAGTTCAAACTGCAAAGTTAGAACTCTGAAAATATCTACAACATCATGCAAATATATCGCACTAAATCTGGTTAAGGATGTTATATATTTGTTTCTTTCTCCATCCTGATAGGCTCAAACTAACAGGTTATGAAGTCTTTGTGTTATTTGACAGTGTTCGAGGTTACATTAGGGAATGAGTCTTATTCATTTCCATAGTTCAGGCCTCCTATGTGGCTTATTAGAAGAGCACCCCTGATACGCAGCCTCAGAAGTTAAAGAACCCCTGAAAACAATCCATAAAAATAAAAACATTAGAACTTATTTTATTTGTCAAGCCAGTCATTACAAAAGCTGAAAAATATCAGTCTCCATATGTGTTTTTTCCAGTTCATTGCAATTGAATTTCACAGACACTAAAATGTTTTCTTGGCAGAAGACAAAACGTGAATTATTGCCCCGGCAATTATTTTCTTCTCCTTTGTCAACTTCAGACATTAATGTGGTGGAAAAGCTGTTACCTTTTGATATACACTCGTACTACCAGAAGTCGTCAACATGGGTTTATGTCGAAAGTGACAGGAACACCTGATCGTAATTTATCTTTGAATTAACAGCCATGCTTTTCTTGAATTTGCTTTTAGCTCGTTGCACCATCTTACCGAAGGGAAAGTGTCATTTAAAGTTTGAAGCGACCATGAGATTTAAAAATAGCATAACTGCAGTTTAGGTATAATGATGACAAATGGTGAAAGGCAACTGTAAAATAAATCTTTAGACTGGATCTAAAAACGTCACCACCTTTGTCCAGTTCATGTCTGTGAAACTGCCCTCCAGAACCCGGGGCAAGTTGAATATTTGACTGTTCGCAGGCCCTCTCCAAGCACTGCTGAACCAAGTGCAACGTAATTCACCAGGCTGTGATTCACTGGCTGATCCTGAAGTCAGAAACCCGGTCATTAATAAATAAGTTATGTGGTGGGGTTTTATCTTTTTTTTTTCTTCTTCTTTTTTTTCTTTGTAAGTATAACTCTGTATTCCCATGTGGACCAATCTCATGAGTCAAAACATGGTATGTGTGATCTTTTATTGTGCAATAAAAGATGACTTTCAACTTTCTGTTGTCCGTGGAGAGTAATTAACTAACTAAACATGGATATTTTAGCTGATATCCTTATGTAATTCTGGTGTTTTTGCTTTTCTTTTTTAGTTTATAGACTGTTCTTGCTCAGCTTTCTGCACATTGTGTACTCGGAAAGATGCATTGGCCTTGTAATGCTGTTGTATTAGTTAGCAGCAATGTGAAAATATGTTTGCTGCTGGTGTTGTGTAAAGGAAGACCTTCCACTTAAGTCATATCTAAAGGATTCAATAGTGAGAAGTACTTAGACTGATATAGGAACAAATATGTAATCAGGAAAACAACATTTTGACATTGTGACTTTGGGTATTAGTAAAAACCCTTAAAAATATTTACAGCAGATGAACACTATCTGGATGTCATATTCTGGAAAAATGACCTGACACAGGACCTGAAAGATTTATCTGGCCCTTCATGGTCTAAGTGGAAAATTGGCTGCTGAGAAGCAACACTTAAGGAAAAAGCAGGAAGAAAAGGCTGAGGTTACACTAGAACTGGACTGAAAATCAGTGGCAGCAGGTCTTATGGAGTGAGGAGTCCAAATTGGAAACTTTTAGTTCAACTTTTATGAAGGACATCAGGAGAGAGTTATAAAAGTGAGTGCCATCTTTAAAACACGGTGGAGGCTTTGTCATGGTTTGGGTTGCATGGCAGCCAGGAGTGTTTGGGATCTTGTCAAGATTGATAGTACTTTTCTGTGACAATAACTCTGTCTGATCCAACATGCAGTACCATCTGGAAGGCAACAGTTTCATATTTCAGTCTCAATCACACAGCAGAACAGATAATGGAACACTATCAGTCATGGTTTGGCCTCCCCAAAGCCTGGACCTTAACATTATTTAAGCACTTTTTGATCATCTCAACAGAGAATGGAAGGAAAAAGGTGGCCAACATCCAGAGAAGAGCTCTGAATGTCCTTCAAGAAGCCCGGAGAACTGTTCCTGTAGACAAAGAGACTTCAGTCTGTTAAAGGTGAACAATATAACATGAAGATTTCTATTAGATACTTTGAGTGGACAAAAGATCTCACTCAAACAGATCAACTCAATTTAAAACTGCACAATGGATGCCGCATCAAAATAAACATTTATTGAAATGTACACTCGTGCTGTGGATAAAAAAAACAACAAAACACTTTGTCCTTGAAATATTGATAAATACATGCAAGCAAGCTGTTAAAAGACAAAGCCATTTATCAGCTCTGGAGAAAAAAGAAAAAAAAAAACAGAAGAAATACCCACATATTCAATCTTGCTACACCAACTATGCATACCAAGGTATACTTGTGCATATCAGACAAGCCAGGGGAAAATAAAAGAAAGAAGCTGGCATATAACTAAATAAAATTCATAGTGTGAGGTTAAACTCTGTAGTAACAAGCTTGAATATGTGGGACTTCTAAAGCTTTTTTAATTTTATAGAGAGAGTTTGGTTTTCATGTTCAGGCTGCTGTGACAGTAATTTCCCAACTGCTGAGATAAATAAAGCAAGTCTTATCATTTTTAGGTTCACTGGAATAGCAACTTTAGAAACTGCAGAAGAAAAAGAAGCAAAGAACAATTTGTGCTCTTGCTAACATTATTTTCTGTTGGATACTGACAGCTTTGTTGTGGTTATCGTAGCTATTTTCTTAAACTGATTCAAGTTAGTTATATTAGTTTTATCATGATAATGAATAACAGACACTTTATACACAGTCTTCAGGAGCTCAAATGCAAGTAAAGTAAATAATTTGTAGGCAATGATAGCCTAAACTCTGGAAATAATGCCCATCACTTTTTTAAAAAGCCTGATATTTATGTCATGCTTTTTGCTTTTATAACATCTGTCTTCAGTTTTTACTTTGTGAGCTTCAGAAACGTCTGGGTTGCTTCTGCTGCATTTGGCTAAATACGTGTAGAAAGTACTGCTCTACACACATCAGAGTTCAGTAAATACTGATGACCACGGGAAGCAAAAGCACACCTTTTGCACATTATATTGCAGGTACACTTATGAGCCATTCCAAGCTTTTGACGTGCTCTTTTCTTCACAAATTTCATATAAATAAAATTGAACTGAATATTTTTGCAGTCCAATTTGATCCAAGTTTCTGTCCGGTCTGTCTGTACTAGAGCTGCTCTGGGTTTTGTCGTCTGTCTCTTCTTGGGGCTGATGGGTAGTTTCTGGTTATTTCTCTCATGTAATCTTCTCTTTGTGCTTGGATGATGATATGCCCACCTCCTGTTCTTTACTTAGCTGGATGCTGTTTGTCTTTACTATTTAATAATCCTTTGCTCACCAGCCACTGCTCCTTTCTATGCACGACCAGGACTTTAAGCTTCTGAGTTATGTTGGGGGGGTTGGGGGGTTGTTTGGGGTAGGGTGTGATTTATTTTTAAGCCCCTTAATTTATTAATAAATACTGAAGAAAAGTCAAAACTGTACATGAAACTTAAACCTACATAAAATAGGTCATCTGTAATTCCTATGGTATTTTACTTCAACCTCTAAAATTAAATCTGCACTCAATATTAATTATATAACTGTAACTTGAAATTTCTGCTAAACTGATGAAATGACCAGAGAAAATGTAGCTGTGAAACAATCTGTGGCTATAAAATCACTAAAAGATAATTATTTGAAAATCTGATTGAGAGATGGTTCATATGTTGCTCCTGCATGGGAAGCTTGAAATTAGCAATTTTTTTTTTTTTTGGGAGGATTTCAGTCCAAGGAGGCAGGTTAATGGTTGCTTTACCTGGTGAAGGGAGAGTTTTCCTCGCACCAAGCTGCTACTTTAGACAGTTTTAATACACTAGTGAAAAGCACGACCTATTAGGAACTTTTAGTTCAGTCTCGATTTATGCTTCTGACCGCTTGGAAACGATACGGATTTATGACATATTTTCATATATGTTCCATGTTACATCGTGTCTGTCTCCCCCTCAGGGATCTCCATGATGTCTTTGCTCCCCTGTGGTTGTTCTGTTTCTTGAGTTGCCAACGCTGTCGCTGGTGTGCAGTCGTAGCCGTTTTCGTTCCTTCTTCTTTCCAAGTCCTCCTTTTTTATTCTGTCTTCTTTCTGACAGATAAAAAATATAAAACAAGTCAACATGAAACATTAAATATCACACATGGCACATCTGCATTTCAGATTAGTTGTCTACATGCATATTTTTTTTTATCATAATTAAAAGAAAAACTTTATTTAATAACATATATGCATGTGTATATACATATTTATGAGTATATTTAGTGAATAACACACTAGACAGCTAAAGTAAATGGAAGGATTTTTTTTCTCCTGTTCATCATAATTTAGACATTTATAAATAAATCCAGTTATTCAGTCATAGTCTGTGTTGAAGGTGAAGAGAATACTTTTAAATCTATATCAAGCTAATTTTGATGCCTTATTTAGATGAAAATGTTGTCATCATGTTTTTATCTTAAAACACACTAAAGTAACCAATAACAGTTTTTGCAACTCCTGAATCGAAAGGTTAATAATTCCATTATAAGACACTTACTAAACGTCAGCATTGTTTTAGTGAAAAGTGTCTAAATAATACTGCAATAGAAGAAATAAAACTTGAAGAAATCTGAGCTTGGTGATTGGAAAAAGAGCAGAACCTAAAAGCTTTTACATCTAATAACTTTTTGCACTCCTAAATGTTTCAGAACTGTTTTCCATCTTTCCATCCATTGTGTTTGGTTTAAAGTGAAAATTAAAAAAAGGCTTTTTGAGGTGTCCTTAAACACAATCGGTTTGGAAATCACTACAGTAAAAAAGAACACTTTTATGTTGCAGTGTGACTCATCAGACAGTAGTTTGTCTTCTACCTTAGAAACCCATCAGGCTGTCTTAAACCTAAACAGCTTGATTCATCTTCCCAGTTGGTCTCCACTGGCTAACCCTTCCAGCTTTGTTAATAATTTACTTAATGTGTGTGTAAAATGTTCTGGTCTTGGACAATTACTGTATTCTGTGACCTGATGCTCTGAGGTTCTGTTGGCTGACGGTCCACATCAGGCAGGTTTCAGTAAAATGTTCTCAGTGATGTTTAGCTGCTTTGATAATGGGCCGTATGTTTACAGAGACAGGAGAAAGCTTTTAATGCTCTTCAGCACTGATCTGATGCATTATCTGCTGTGGACACACATGCATCATATGTAATGTCATTTATTTTAAAGACCCGAGGACTTTAAATGAAACTTCAGTGGGTCTGAACACAATGAACAAATGTTTTGGTATTTCAAAATACATCATGACATATTAGTTTAAAACTTAACCATAGATCTCATATAGCTGTCTCATGCTGTTAAGGTAAAGTTTAGCTTAGATAGAAAATGTGGTTTTAATGTTCAGGAAAGGAGAGGGGAGCTTCAGTATCTCTGGCATAAGCTTAAAGGTGGAATCATTTTCTGTAATATATAGCACTGATGTTGATTTAGAGCTTGGTTGGACATCAGAGTAAAAACAACTGCACGCAGAGAGGCAGTAAAAGAAGAAAGGAAGCAAACCCCAAGAAACATACTCTCGTGGTCACACCAGCGTTTATAAAGAATCTTTCTGCCCCACCTGCCAAAAATAAAAAATATATCTCTAACTTAACAAGTAATCCATTTCATATCTATTAATATGTGCTCACTAGCCAATCTCTAATGAGCCACATGGTCAAGAAGACCTGCTCGAACTGATCATCAGAATGAGGAAGAAAATAGATTTAAGTGACTTAGAACATGGCTTGTTTTTGGTGACGGATGGGTTGCTGACCTGCTGGGATTTTCCCGCACAAACATCTTTACAGAGAACGATCTGAAAGGATATCCAGTCTGCCTCGTTGAGGAGAATGGCCAGACTGCTTCAAGCTGATAAGAAGGCAACAGTAACTCAAAAAACCGCTTATTGAAACCAAGTTATGTAGAAGAATGTGTCTGAACACACAACATGTGGAGCCTTGAAACGGAGGAACATACAGGCTGCCACAAGCTAAGAACAGGAAACTAAGACTACAATAGAAGCAATAAAAGCATTAAGGCTTCAGTTGGATTTCTATGGGACTGCATATAACAGTGTTAAAACGTTCTTTTTTTATGTGCAATGTAATTATTCTGCACTACTCAGTATAAACCCTGAATCAAAGAGACATTTTTAATTCATTCACTTTATTTAACCTCTTGAGCTCAACATTTATAAAGACAGACCGACCACGAAAAGACGCCATTACAAGGATGCAAAACTAAAATTAAGCAGTGACATGAAAACTGAGTGTCGGCCATATAACATACAAACCTGTTTATAATTTTATGTTATAATAAAAGTATTCCTTAAAAGTCAGTGAAACAAACGGGCTGTTTGTCACTCACTTCTAAGCAACTGTTTTTGACGCAATGCTGTTTGCTCCTTAATAAATCTGGCATGTCAAATAGCTGGTAGAATTTCCAATTATTAAGAATAGATTTTTAGTAGAATTAATGCAAAAGAAAAGTATTTTGGTGGGTTAATAAATGTATTTCGTAAGGCTTGGTAAGGACTTGTTTTTAAATTTGAAAGGTTTTTCTTTTCTCTTCTTATTACTTCATTGGTAAGTTGGGTTTCACGCTGGGGTGAAAAAGGCTAAAGTGAACTCGAAAACTGATGCTCAGAAAAAACACAAACAATTCAAATAGAATTACAATTCCTTTCTTTTCTTTTGGCCGTCGTTCCTTTTGTTTTCGCTCCATCTCATTCCATCCAAAACATTTGGACGTGCGCCGCGCACATTGCACAGATGAAGAAAATACAGATGGTGCTTTCACTGTGTCATGCACACAAAATCACATCCATCAATTCAAACTGCTGGTTGCCTTTGCGCAGCTCCACAGCGGCATGGTGGTGTTGTAACTGCCTTGTTCAGCAGAACATCCCTTGCATTTTTGGGGCAATCCTGGAGTTTCTACTTTCTTCCCACAAACCAATCCAGATATCTCAGACTGGCGGTCTCTAAGTCAGCTGTGTGTGTGGTGTTTTTGAGGCAGTGGCAGTGAAACCAATTCATCTTCGTAGGTTAGTTACATATTGACGCTCACACTTTGTTTTTACTGATATTTAGTTATATTTCTGTCACGTCAACAGCTAAAGTGATGAAAAGAACGTTTAATACTGTGTTCAATACTTTCACCCCCCACTGCTGTCATCTGCCCCTCATTAGTAATAAGAGCGTATCCTCACAGATTGGACTTTTTAAATCCACACTGTCTCTTCTCCTTATATTCTTCTTAAAACTCAATTCCTCTTTCCCCTCTCCATGCACTTCTTCTCTCCTTTCCCCCCCCTGACATCTCTTCATTTTTTTAATCTGTCCTTCATTAGTGCTGTCACAAAGTGTTTTATTTTGGAAGCTGTGTTGATGATTGAGAATAAGGGCAGGTTGTCCCAAAATGCCTCTGTACTATCTGTGTGTCTACATTATACACACTAATTCTTAAAACTGAAACCCTGTGGTGACTATTAAAACGTGCATATGAACATGCACGCGTTACATTTGAATTTGTGTGAGTGATAATGGTGTAAGTTCACAATCCAGACTTACTTTTCTTTTAATAACTACAGATTCTATAAATCTTGGTAAGATAGGAGGTTAACGGCTACATTGACTGAATCAGCTGACTTGGAATAGTTTGCATGCGAGCTTGTTTCTGCTGCTGAAACGTTTTTATTTTTTTCCACCCATAACTCGAAATTTCAAGTTAATACGTCAAGATATAATAACTTCAAATTTCACGTTCCACTCTGCCCATCAGGAAGTGCTGTGAGGTTACATCATGTCGTTGCTTCAGATGGTGGAAGGTGTCAGCTACCAGTGCTACAGCTGCAAGGTCATGAATGAACGAACTGCAGAGTGCTTTCAGCGTGGTGGCACAAATGATGAAATCCTTGTGCTACTAGCTGAACCGTGTGGCGTTGTTATCAGTACAACAGCAATTTGTTCATGTTTACTATACATTGTTAGCTCACTGATGCGATTTTGAGTCTGCCTCTACATCCGTTTCTGGGTAACAAGGAAATTATGTAATTCATGGAAGAAAATAACTCAAACTATGAGCACTATAGTAAAGTCTGAAAAACATATTTACTTTTTGGGTCTGGGATAGTTTTATGTTATGGATAAGGGTGTGCATCAACTCTACACTGAGTAAACTTATAGCCATAGATGATTACACAACAGGACTATCTATCATAACTATCATTTTCCTGGACCCCACTTCTTATCTTCTCACTGTGCTTCCACACTTAAAGAAAGACCTTTTGGTTGTAGCTCTGCGAGAAAGATCACTACTCGCCACATTTATCCAGACTATGTATGAAAGTACCCAGATAATGCACCACTCCATTACTATTCCTCTGCTTCTGCAGAGCTTGGACATCATCTCTGTTGCTGTGAAGTGTTTACCTTTGACTGTAATTACTGTGGATTATTTATTCTTCCAATATTACAAACAAAAATTGCACTTCGTTTTCTCTCCCCCCGGGCTTTTAGCACGCAGAGCTGAGTCAAAGTGCTTTCTGTGTGAGTATCTCAGAACTTTTGATCTATTATTTTAGTGGTTGCTTAGTTTTAAGCTATCTTGTTTGTTGCAATGTAAAGTACAGAATCAGCTGCAACCTGTGATGTGTGCATCATAACCCGATTCCTGTAAGCGCAGAACCCTCAGCCACACACACCTTGACCACATATGTGAGTTGGAGAAGACCTGTTTCTGCCTGCAAGTAAAAAAAAAATCTTTATATGCAACAGCGTTCACCCTTTTTCTCCTGCTCTAGGTGTTTCTTTTCTCTCTCTCTCTCACACACTCTCTCTCTCACACACACACACACACACACACACACACACACACACACACACACACACACACACACACACACACACGCACAAAAGAAAAAATGGAGACAGCGAACCACATGTGTTGGAAGCTGGTATGTCATGAGAGTGGAATATCTCCCAGCCATCTTAACTGAATCAAGCATAGTGCTGGAAAACTCCCCTGCTCATCCCATAACAATCTGACCACAGGAAGACTACAAACACACACGCAAAC